TCTTCCAGGTCTCCCACGTGGGTGCAGGAGCCCAAGGACTTGGGCCACCTTCTACTGCTTTCCCAGGCCATAGCAGAGCAGGATTGGAAGTGGAGCAGCTGGACTCGAACCGGCACCCATATGGGATGCCGGTGCTTCAGGCCAGGGCGTTAACCCACTGCACCACAGTGCCAACCCCTGTTTTTGTTTTTAAAGATTTATTTATTTATTTGAAAGAGAGGCAGAGGCAGAGAGAGAGAGAGAGAGACAGAGAGAGAGGGGTCTTCCATCCACTGGTTCACTCCCCAAATGGCCGCAATGGCCGGAGCTAAGCTGATTTGAAACCAGGAGCCAGGAGCTTCTTCCAGGTCTCCCACATGGGTGCAGGGGCCCAAGCACTTGGGCCATCTTCCACTGCTTTCCTAGGCCATAGCAGCAACTTGATTGCTACCCCAAATGCCCATCCTAGCACTGCTTTAAAAATTAATACTGTGCTCTCATTTTTTTGTGACCAGTTGAGTAGAATCAAGGAGGGATTGATAACATTTCAGTGGTTGTATTTGGATCCCTTTCCTACCCCACTTCAAATTTTTAACCTAAATTTGTTAATCCAAATGATAAGTACTAGAAAACAAAGCAGGATTCCTTGTTTAATTTATCGCTGATGTCAGTTAATTACTGTTGGTGAACATGAATTGTCTTCTACAGAGAAGCCGATACAGACTCAGTTGCTCATCATGTAGAGTATTCCACCTTAGGTTTGGTGGATTTAGACTTCAGCACTTAATAACCCAACACCATACCACTGAGCACCGAGACTTTTCCCCACGTGGGGTGCTCCATTGATAATCAGTTACCACCTCCATGTTCAAACCATGTTCAAACTTCAGGTGGCAGGGGGTGCCTGCTTGCAAGGCATCCTGGGGAGGGCTGTGTGCGGCTTTACTGACTCGCTGTGGTGGCGCATGGATCTTGGTGGCAGCCGCATGTTTGGGAGAGTGGTGAACCTGGATTCCCGGGAAGCCCGGCAGGAGACCTGCCGTCAGAGCAGCCTGGCCTGTCTGTGTGAGTCCCTGGTGAGGGCAGGGCTGCATCTGAAGCCTTCTTTGCAGCCCGCAGGCCCCCGCAGCCCTTCCTGCCTGTTTTCGCATTTCCTTGTGAATGCACGTCTGTTCCCAGGGAGGAGGATGTATAGAAACACGGACCACTCTCAGTCAGTGTAGTGTGCTCATTAGTCATCTTAGTGCCCGTGAGTAAAGCTGCTGGCTTATGATCCACCCATATTCTGCCATCACAGCTTAGGCCTAATATGGCAAAGTTGTTTTCTTTTTTAAACTGTTAATACTAATGTGGTCAGGGTACCTGTGGAAACAGTCAGTGAGACGAGCCTGAAGGTGGTAAAAGCATGTTTTATTTTTTTTTTTAAAGGTTTATTTATTTATTTGAAAGGCAGAGTTAGAGAGGTCTTCCATCCACTGGTTCACTCCCCAAATGGCCACAACGGCCAAAGTGGGACAGTCGAAGCCAGGAGCTTCTTCTGGGTCTCCCACACAGGTGCAGGGTCCCAAGGACTTGCGCCAACATAATGTTGAGTCTTGTGGAGTGTGTTCTTCCATGTCAAGATTTTGGTTTTTGGTAAGGCAAAGAGGTCTGTGTTTTGCCTGCTGGTTCACTCCCCGAATAGCTGCAACAGCTGGGGCTGGATCAGGCTGAACTCAGGAGCTTGGCACTCCATCTGGATCTCCCAAGTGAGACAGGGACCCAGGTGCTTGAGCCATTGCCACCCTCTGCCTGCTGCAATACGCATCAGCAGGAAGCTGGAACCAGAAGCAGAACTGAGCCCCGAACCCAGGCTGGGACATGAGATGCAGGCATCCCAAGTGGTGTCTTAGCTCATGCGCCAAGTGCCTGCCCAGAGGTTGGTTTTTTTTAAATCTCAAGAGGTTCATTATTATGCTTTATGTTGGGAGAGGTCTGAAAAACAGGTGCTGAGTTATATTATCTTGCTGAACTATGAAAAGCTTAACTTTGATTTTTTGCAGTGTAGCACTGTACTTAGTAATGTCTGTCTGTTCTCAGGCAAATGTAAAGATATTCTTATTGCTGATTTTCATTTGTACTGGAACTTTAAAAGTCAAGTTCAAAGAGGAATTTTATGATTGGGTACTTGTTTTCCACTATTTTCTAACCCTTACACCTCAGGCAGCAGGTCCTCTCCCATTCCAGTGACATCTGGGAGGGATTTCTTCACCGTGTTCTCTTTTTACACTTCCTAGTTAATTTTCAGAGCAGTCCACTCAAGGATGTCCCTTGGAGATTGAACAGCTTCTGTGGAGTAATCAGGGAAGTGTCCGTTTGGTTTTACCTTCTAGGATTGATCAGCTGAGTGCATAGAGACAGGTGGAGGCCCTCATTACCATTTCCCCTTGTTCGGGATTCCAGGGTAGTGAGAGTGTCACCCGAGAAGCAGGTGCGCCTGGACAAGGGCTTCGTGCTCACCACTGATCGTCTGGTAACTGAGAGGCTGCAGTACGAAAGGCTTAGAGCCCTGAAATGTCCTTTGCTCTATCACTTCCTGAAAAGTTAAAGCATTATGTGTTAACATCTTGGAAGATGGTTTGCAGCTTGGCAAACGTGTACCTCTAATCATTTCCTCCCTCCCTTGGGGCAGGCTGGAGCTGTGTGTTGGGGTGGGGCTGGGATTGGGTGATCTGTTGCTTCACTAAAGAGTACTGGGGAGTTGGTTAGACCTTTTCTTAAAGGGAGAAGTTGTTGATCCCTGCCTGTTTGCATGCAGTGCATCAGCCAGCCTCTGCCGGTGTTTTTGTCAGTGACTAAGTGATGCTCTTTGTGTCTGATTTCTTTAGCAGGAGGAGCAATCTCAGAACTATTGTGAAGACCCTGAAGTTCTTCGTGCTTGCCCCCTTTGCCATCATGTGGCCTCTGGACAGTGTGGTCAGTCATTTGAGATTGACTTTAATTTAAAACAAAGGCCTCTGCCTCCCATCCTGGAGGTGGAAGGAGTGCGTTTATGTTTGAATGAAGAAGTGAATTATGGAAGAATATATGTCCCCTACCTTCCCTTTCAAGCGTAAGTCCAAATAGGCTCTCAGGAATGAGGATTTGTGAAGACATCAAATAGGGGTTTTTGTGTCATTTAAACCTTAAGGCTTAGTTGTGTTGCTGGAGAAGAGACACCTGTGTTTTGCTCATCCAGCTGTGTTGTGCCCAGCAGCCTTCTGACATGTCACTTTCTATCTCCTGTTTGCTTTCTGTCCTCAGTGCATGTCCCCAGGTGACTTGTCCTTATCTGAAGTTTTGCAGCCTAGGAGAACTTGGGTTGCATATTCTCCTTCATTTATAACTTATCTCTCCCCGGGTACCTCCTGCATTTCTATACTGGGTACAAAGGATGGGCAGGAAAGAAAAATGCTTGAAAGATTAACATTTTTGGAAAGGGAAGATAAAGGAGGCAGCTGCTCCTCCCGCTCCTACCACACCCCATTCTTCTCCAGAAGATGGGCAGTAAGCGATTCAGGGTTTTTCCTTGTTCCTTGCATGTTTTCTTCTAGTATCAGTTCGTCCTCATTAATCATGGTTTTTGAAGATAGCTAATTTTATCCATCTCTAGCAAAGAATCATCAGTAGTTGATATTGTTTTTCTGTGCTGGCTTCTGGAGATGGAAACAAACCAAGGTATTTCTCAGCAAACTTTTTTATTGGGGTGGGGGAGTCTGTGCAAGGACTAAGTAGAGCCATCCAAAATCAAAGCAGCAGCAGCAGAGTTCACACCCAAGACCAAGGTGCGTAGTTCGCCACTGCCTGTGGAAATCTGTCCCCACCTGTCACTGGTCTCCCCTGCCCGTGTCCACGCCCCTTTTTCTCGCTGTGTTTTCAGTCACTTCCTTTCTGTGAAAGGTTGCTTAGCTTCCCGTCCCCCTTTGCTGTTCTTTATATAAAAAGTAGCAGATTGGATGGATGTGTATATTAGGTGTTTGGAATTTTCTGAAAATCCGAGTCAGGAAGCCAGGTCTGGAAAGGGCTCGGTAGCCTCGCTGCGGGGGGCTTTCAGCTGAGCAGAGAACGCATCCGCTGGAGCGAGGGAGACTTCAAATCCTGGGCCAATCGTGAAACCCCTGGCCGTTGGTGGATGCTGCTGTAGGTAGCCAAACAAGTTGAATGCTGTGTGGACTTTAGGATAGAAATCAGAGTAGAACACGTCATAGGAGCCTCCTTGTCCCGTCCCATCTTTTAGAGCCAGGATATTCAGTAACCGAAGAAAGAGCACTCCCTCAGTTGCAAAATGCCCGTTTTCAGTTGCGCTACTTTCTCCTTGACTGCTCGTTTTGTGAATTTCCTCCAAGTTAGACGACTGGTTGAATTGGTAGGTGGCTCACTAGACATGTTTCTCTTGCAGACTGATTCATGTCCATTCCCGTTCCCCCTGTGCTGTGCACTGCAGTAGTGTGCAAACTGTGGGGAGCCAGGGTTTCTGCCTGACTTCCATGTGGGAAGTAGCGTGGTTTCCTCTGCCTGTGCATTTAGATGTCTAAGCTCTGTTACTGCCTAACTGGCTCCCGAGTAAGTCAGCTTACACCCTGTCAGGTTGCCTCCTGGAGCAGCTCCTGACAATTCATAATGCTCTTGGAATGTGTTTCCAGTTCCTAAGGCCTTCTGTCCATTTCAGTTTGAGTTTCTTGATTTGTACAATATCTGTATATTTTCTTCTTCCCGTCTGTCATCCCCCCGACCCTGCTCAACACCGTTTTGTTTTTTAAAATGTTCTGTAGTTTTGTACAAGATGAGACATAGCCTTGGGTACTTCTTGCTGAAGCTTTAATGCTTTGTAAATAAAATCGGATGTTTATTAAAGAACAAGTGTAAATGTTTGTTTGTAAACACTGATCACCAGCCGCTGTGCCTTTGTACCACAGAAAGTGTGGCTTACTGTGCTGTTAAGACGTTTCTGTGTGGAAATCGAGAGCTAGAAGGGACATTCCTATGTCTAGATAAGATTACAAATAAATAACAATTTTAGCAAAAGTTGGTGCCAATCAAAAATCATGTAGGATTGATCTCTGTTAAGATGATTTTACCCCGTGTAGGTTTTCTGAGATTTCTCTGAAGTGGCCACTGTGCTAGGCGTTCTGCAGGTGACAAAAACGAATGCCAAGAGATCTTTCTTGGTCCGAGTGCAGTTGAAGTCTTCTTTATTAGCTTTTTCCCCCCCTACATTAAATACCTTTAAAATCCATTGACTACTCATCGTCTCCTAAAGAATAAGATGTCTCAGAGATCAGAGCCTGCTGTTCGTCAGTGGAAGAGTGTCTGTGTGTTAATCTGGGGATGGAGAGCCGGCTTCTGACATCATAGCTGTTTCATAGCAACCTCCATCTGAGCCAGTGACGAGCTCCGCCATGCTGGGGGGGGGACAAGGCACGGGCGGAGTCAGGCTGCCTTGCGCATCGTCCAACCCAGAAAACACCATTGGTGCCCTGGGAGAGGAGCGCCTGAAACAGGGTGTGATTGCTTTCAGCGTGGCCTGTCTTGCTGATGAAGCTTCTGCTTTTAAAAGGGCGCTGTGGCTCTTGTTTTAATGAACTTGCATTTCTATTTAAAACTCGTCACACAGGAGCATGGCTCATGGTTCACATAGTGTTTCTGTGTGCAACGTATCACTTGTTACTCAAAGTAGGGAAATGGGCAAGGAGATCTTAGTTTACAAAGAAGGAAATACAAATTCTGGAAGGGTAAGTCACTTGCCTCAGTCCAAAGAGGTTAATTCTTTCTTTTTTTAAGATTTATTTGACAAGCAGATTGACAGGGGGGCAGAGGGAGAGACAGAGAAAGATCTTCCATTCCCTGATTCATTCTTTAAATGGCTGCAAAAGCCGGAGATGGTCCAGCCAAAGCCAGGACCCAAGAACTCCATCTGAGTCTCCCATGTGGGTGGCTGGAGCCCAAGTACTTGGGCTATCTTCCATTACCTTTCCAGGCACATTAGCAGGGAGCAGAATTGGAAGCAGAGTAGCTGGAACTAAAATAGAATGCCAGCCTTGCAGACAGTGGCATAACCCACTGTGCTACAGTGCCGGCCTCCTTAGTCTTTTTTCTTTTTTTTAATTTAAAGATTTATTTATGACCGGCGCCGCAGCTCACTAGGCTAATCCTCCACCTAGCAGCGCCAGCACACCGGGTTCTAGTCCCAGTTGAGGCGCTGGATTCTGTCCCGGTTGCCCCTCTTCCAGGCCAGCTCTCTGCTGTGGCCCGGGAGTGCAGTGGAGGATGGCCCAAGTGCTTGGGCCCTGCACCCCATGGGAGACCAAGAGAAGCACCTGGCTCCTGACTTCGGATCAGCGCGGTGCGCCAGCCGCAGCGCGCCGGCCACAGTGGCCATTGGGGGGTGAACCAACGGCAAAAGCAAGACCTTTCTCTCTGTCTCTCTCTCTCACTGTCCACTCTGCCTGTGAAATAAAAAAAAAAAAATTATTTATATATTTGAAAGGCAGAGTTACAATGAGGCAGAGTCAGAGAGAGAGAGAGAGCTCTTCCATCTGCTGGTTCACTCCCGAAATGGCTGCAACAGCTGGTGCTGGGCCGATCCAAAGCCAGGAGCCAGGAGCTGCTTCTGGGTCTCACACACGGGTACAGGGGCCCAAGGATTTTGGCCATCCTCTGCTGCTTTCCCGGGCACTTTAGCAGGGAGCTGGATTGGAAGTGGCACAGCTGGGACTTGAACATGCACTGTTATGGGATGCCAGCACTGCAAGTGGTGGCTTACCCACTATGCCACAGCGCTGCCCACCCCCAATCCTTTTTATAAAAGGTCTAGGAGCAAAGTAAGCAAGTCAAGTTACTGAACTTAATTCAAATTATTCTTCCCCTTTTTAGACTTTTTTTTTTTTTTTTGGACAGGCAGAGTGGACAGTGAAAGAGAGAGACAGAGAGAAAGGTCTTCCTTTTTGCCATTGGTTCACCCTCCAATGGCCACTGTGGCCGGCGCATCGCGCTGATCTGAAGCCAGGAGCCAGGTGCTTCTCCTGGTCTCCCATGCGGGTGCAGGTCCCAAGCACTTGGGCCATCCTCCACTGCACTCCTGGGCCATAGCAGAGAGCTGGCCTGGAAGAGGGGCAACCAGGAGAGAATCTGGCGCCCCGAGCGGGACTAGAACCCGGTGTGCTGGCGCCGCAGGCGGAGGATTAGCCTATTGAGCCACGGTGCCAGCCCCCCTTTTTAGACTTTAATGTCCATTTTTTCCTACGGTTAGATTTAACTTGGGGTCTTGAAGTTCTTTAGGTGTAGGGAACCTTTTTTCTGCAAAGGGCCATTTAGATATTTATAACATCATTTGCGGGCCATGAGAGATGATCAACTCAGAAATTAGCCTGCTATACATTTATAGAATCTCAAATCCCACTTGCATTTGCCCTGACTGGGCCAGACCAAATGACTTCCACAAGTCTTGTGTGGCCAGCGGCCAGACATTCTCCATCCCTGGACTAAGATCCTACCCACTGTAGGGGCAGGGTGTTAGAAGAGTAGAACTTAACTGTTTTGGGCAGTTTGGAAATTCACTGTTTCTAAAGTCTTTTCGTCTTTGTCTCACCAAGACATGGATTTACACGCATTAAAAAGATGTGAGAAGCATGAAGGCAGGTCAGTGGTCACTAGCAGGTGTAGATAGGGAGCAACAGCGTTGTGATTTTCCCCCTACCTTGGGGCTTCACCTTCACCACAAGGACCAGACTTTTGTTTTATTGACAACGCCCACACCCTGGCTGACACTGAAGGCGTTAGGTGACAATAGCCGGGAGCACTCACCTGGGATGCCTGAAGGGTGCCGGCTGAGGCTGGCGAAAGCCTGCCGAGACCAGAAGACTCTGGCCTCTGGTTTCCTGCTTCGAAGCCTGGTGTTGGCCTCCTGCCTGCCTTTGGTGTTGACTTCACCCAACACACTGGCCATCCCTAAGAAGCTGCGAGAAGCTGTGGGGAAAGTGGTCGTCAATGCCACCGCCTGCACTGTCACCTGTGGCCTCGGCTACAAGGAGGAGACTGTGTGTGAGGTGGGCCCCGACGGAGTGAGAAGGAAGTGTGAATCTCAGCGCTTGGAGTGTCTGACCAACTGGATCTGCGGGATGCTCCACTTCACCCTTCTCGTCGGCCAGCACTTGGAGCTCAGCTGCCTGAGCCCGGAGATCCTGGAGGTCGGGCAGGAAGCTTTCCGGTTCACCTGGAGACTTGCTCGGGGTATCATCTCAACTAACGATGAGGTCTTCAGACCCTTCCAAGCCCGTTCCTACTTTGTGAGGTTTTTATCTGCCCAGGAGTACGACTCTGGGACTTACCGCTGTGATGTGCAGCTGTTAAGAAACTTGAAGCTCGTCAAGAGGCTGTATTTTGGGCTGAGGGTCCTTCCTCCTAACTTGGTGAACCTGAATTTCCATCAGTCCCTTACTGATGATCAGAAATTAGTGGCTGAGGGCCTGGAAGTCAGTCCGGGCAACCATTCCATGCCTCACCACCCACAGTGGAAAAGGAAGGTGGCGTTGGCCTTGGGCCTAGGAATCTGCGGTGGAGTGGTTGGTGGGGTGTTGGTGAGCATCGCCCTCTGCAGGGCGCTGAGGCACACCTCCAACTAGGACTGCTCCTGAAAGACTGACGGGAGCTCCTTGGGGGGCGTGTCCTGGCTGCCTGGCCTGATCCTGGGTCAGCCAACAGGGAGGCCTCCCACTGCCCGGAGCATGAGTGGGGGTGGGGCAGGGACAAGCTCATGGGAGCTGTGGGTGGTCCTAGATGGGTTCTGTCCTGACCCCCTGCTCCTTGGGCACGCAGGCAGCTGACTGCAGGCATCCTGCCAGTCCTGAGAAGGGACCTGTCCTCGTGTTCATTTTCTATCTGTGCTTTACAACTTGCATGCCTCCCACCTGCGTTCCTCTTCTGAGCAGTGCGTTCCTGTAGGATTTATTAACAGCTTTTCTAGTGAAAATATCACTTTCCCTCTTCAATAAAAATAATTCACAGTAGCTGTATGGAAACAACATTTTCTTGTCTTGCTCTTTAAAATTCTGGCGTTTAAGCTACTCTGTAATCGTCAGTCTGGTTTGTTTTCCCCAAATCCTTCAGGATAGATGATAGACGAATTGCTTCTTGAGTGGATGTGTGCCCAGGTTGGGCAGAGGTTGTTAGGACCAATCTGTGACTCAGGTGTGTAAGTGACAGCCCTGACAGCCCAGGTGAATCCTGTGTTTCGTGTAAAATTGAATTTCCTAGCAAAGCACTGGATTCTTCTCCTGGTCATCCAGACAGTTCCTTGCTTTGCTTGCTGCCCCTTTCATTTTTGCTTTTTGAGTCCCCTGAGACTTATTCCTGAAAAGGCCAAGTGCATTGGTCTCTTAAAGCAGCCAAGGCCCCAAAGGGAGGGCATCGGAAATCCAGGCTTAAGAGCCTAGGGGCACGGGGGCCGCCATGTGCCGTGCTCTAGGTGATTGGCTTGTGGAAGCCACAGGGGAACGGCTGTTGGCCCCCGGCTGAGCTGACCCTGAGAGTATGAAGGCATTTCTCCCTCTCCTCCAGCTGCCGGCACAGCAGCAGAAACCAAAGCCCAATGTTTCTCTAAAGCTGTGTCAGGGTCACCTGCGGGAGCTTCTGACCCTGTTGATGCTAATTTAGTTTAAATTATGGTCAAAAGGCTCTCTATGATTTCCTTTTAACTTAAAGTTTTAAAGCCTGAGACAAGTTGGAAGGAAAGTTTAGTGACCATTCTCAGACCCTTTATCTAGATTGACCCATGAGCATTTTGTCACGATTAGCTTTCTGAATATGTACTGGTTTTTGCTCAGCTGGATGACAGCTGGGCTTGCGTCATGGTCCTGCACTCTGGGGTCACGCCCCCATTCACCTGCACTGTCTTTATCAACTCAGAAGGTGATTCTCCAGTCAGCTCACGTTCAGCTTCTCTGAATTCTAAAACCTTAGAGCCTTTGGATGGATCCTGACGGTGGTTATCTCTCTCCTCCCGCAGACCCCTGTCTTGTTTTTCATGACTTGATTTTTGCTGCAGAGTCTAGCTGGCCCAGCTGTAGTGAACCATGGCTGTCTGGATCTGTCATTTCCTCCTGATGAGACTCACGGGGACCGGCTCGTGAGTGTTTTTGATGGGGGGTACGTGCTTTCAGCGTCACTTGGGGAGGCTCACAGTGTTAGGGTGACTCTCGTTGACAGGAAGGTTGCTGACTTGCTTAGGTGGTAGCTGCCAGATCTCTCCTAAGGGCTGTGTGTGTGCGTGTGCACACGTGTGTTTCCTCTTGGTAGTGAACACCCTGTGGGGTGATGCTTTGTGATTATCTCGTTTTCTAAACACTGTTCACATGAACCATGTGGCATTTGTTGATGATCCTTGCCTTATTACATGTTGGGGATTGGTTGTGAAAGGGTTGAGTTCATTTCTGTATGTGATAGCTTATATAATTCTCTTTAAAGGATGCTTCTTTTTACCTGCTGTTTTTGAGGTCTCAATAGATTTTTCTTGTCAATCAGTATAGAATCCATTACTGTTGTCATTTCTGTTGTTACTTGAAAGGCAAAATGACAGGGAGAGATGAGAGAGAGCTATCTTCCATCTGCTGGTTTACTCCCCAAATATTGCAATAGCTGGATCTGGGCCAGGCTGAAACCAGGAGCCTGGAACTCCATACGGGTCTCCCATTTGAATGGCAAGATCCCAAGTACTTGAGCCATCACCTGCCCTCCCAGGCACATTAGCAGGAAGCTAGATCATAAGTGGAGGAGAGGGGCTGTCATTACGGCATCGCAGGGAGAGCTGCTGCCTGTGACACCGCCATCCCATATGGACACTGGTTCGAGACCCAGCTGTTCCACTTCCTGTCCAGCCCCTGCTAATGCACCTGAGAAAGCAACTCCTTGGCCCCTGCACCCACGTGGAAGACCTGGAAAAGACTCCTAGCTTTGGGCCAGACCAGCTCCAGCTATTGGAGCCATTTGGGGGATGAACCAGAGAATGGAAGATCTCTTTCTGTCTGTAATTCTATTTTTCTTTTCTTTTCTTTTTTTTTTTTTTTTTTTGAAGATCTTTATTTATTCATTTGACAGGTAGAGTTACAGACAGAGAGAAAGGTCTTCATTCTGCTGATTCACTCCCCAAATGAGCTACGCCAATCCGAAGCCAGGAGCTTCCCTCTTGGTCTCCCACGTGGGTGCAGGCACCCAAGCAATTTGGCCTCATCAGAGAGCTGGACTGGAAGAGGAGCATCCGGGGCCAGAACCCAGTGCTCATATGGGATGCCAGCACCACAGGCGGAGGATTAACCTAGTGCGCCACTGCGCTGGCCACTGTAATTCTATTTTTCAAATAAATAAGAAGAGGAGCCAGGACTGGAACCAGCACTCTGATATGGGATGTGGGTGTCTAGAGTGGTGGCTTAACCCACTGTACCACACCAACCCTATGAGTCCCTTTAAGCCAGCTGTTTTGTACTTTCGCTGTGGTCTGATTTGACTAGCATTTTTCTGCTTTCTTGTTCAAGCTATCTCAGGGCCACACTTGGACTTCCCTTGCCCCAGTTGTGAACCTGCCATTTCTCCAAGGATCTCTGGTTTCCTTTGGTGTGGGGAGCAGCGTTTGGAAGCCAAGGTGTGTGCACTGGATGTGCTCATTGCGGCTGGCAGTCGTTGCTGCTAGCCCTGTCAGTTTCCTACAGACATGGGTGCTGTGAACGGTTCATGGGAGAGACGGGTGCTGTGACTTAGCAGGGTAAGCTTGGGATGCTTGCATCCATGTTGGAGCACCAGTACAAGTTCAGCTGCTCCACTTCTGATCCAGCTTCCTCCTAACGTGCTGGGAAGCAGTGGACGATGGCGCCAAGTGCTTGAGTCCTTGTCATCTATGTAGGAGACCTGGATGGAGTTCCCAGCTCCTGGCTCGGCCCCAGCTGTTGCAGCCGTTTGGGGGAGTGAACCAGAGGATGGAAGATCTCTCTCTCTCTGCCTTTCAAATAATTGATTTTAATTTCAAAAAGTTCATGGAAAATGGGATTAAAAGATACGCAGATTGTCCATGAATTTTTGAAGACAACTTATATGTGTAAATCATGAGTTCAAAGCATCTTTGTTTTTTAAACAAGTTTTATAGCTGCTCTGATACATAGCCAAGGTGGAGAACACTGGCCTGGGCACACACACAGGAGCCTTCTAACCACTGCTCTTGCTTTGGAAAGATCATAAGTTTTACACACATCCCCGCCTCCTAGGAAATGGGTAGATTTCAGACCTGAGAGTTGTTTTTTTTTTTTTTTTTTTTTTCCTGACAGGCAGAGTGGACAGTGAGAGAGACAGAGAGAAAGGTCTTCCTTTTGCCGTTGGTTCACCCTGTAATGGCCGCTGCGGCCAGCGCGCTGCGGCTGGTGCACCGCGCTGATCCGAAGTCAGGAGCCAGGTACTTCTCCTGGTCTCCCATGGGGTGCAGGGCCCAAGCACTTGGGCCATCCTCCACTGCACTCCCTGGCCACAGCAGAGAGCTGGCCCGGAAGAGGGGCAACCGGGACAGAATCCTGCGCCCCGACCGGGACTAGAACCCAGTGTGCCGGCACCGCAGGTGGAGGGTTAGCCTATTGAGCCACCGTGCCGGCCAGACCCAAGTTCTAGTCCAGCCTCTGCTGCCTGTCTGCCCCACCTCTGAGACAGGGCAGGGCACAGTGGACTGTGAAGTCCTGGACTCGAGTTAGGGAAGGCAGCTAGCGTTGCACTTTAGTCCAGTACTAGACACTTGGCCGAAGCATCGTGGAGTTAGCGTGGTCCCCTTGAAGGAACACCGGGGCACAGGATCTGGGTTTAAGCAGCAGGATGCAGAGGTAGGCTTTGGCCTGATGAGAAAAGCACCCACAGCTGTGCGCACTGCCCTGCAGGTTGAGAAACCATCTTTATTTAAGAACTGCCTGCTACCAGAGTCAGGAAGTAACTACCATTAGAAGTTACACAAGAGAAAAACAGTGGGCCAGGGGAATGGCTCTGTGTGAACAAAAACAGGTCAAGGCAGGGGTCTGACGAAGCTCTAGCACTTCCCTGGCTGTGAGCTTCTCTATGCTGTGCACGCCCCGGATGGAGTGGGTAAGTTGGAGGAGTTCAGGGCCAAGGCAGGATGTACCCCACTGAAGGGTACCGAGTACCTTCCTCCCCTGCGGCCGCTTGGGGCTTTGGGCAAAGCTGTCTGACCCAGTTTGTTCCTCTCTAGTTTTCCTCTATTGCCCAGCCTTCCTCAAACCCATGACCGTATGTACAAGTCCACGGGGCACCCCACAGCTGCCAGGTGCCTGTTCCATGGAGTTCACCGAAGTCCCTTAGGGAAGTGCCACTGCTCCAGGAGCCTCTGTGGCAACTCCCTTCATACGCAGGATGAAGCCCAGGTAAGGTCTGACCTAGGGAGGCAGAGCAGCACATCTGTGCCAGGGAGCACAGGTGAGAGTCCCTGCTGTCCCTCTGACCTAGAGGACACCAGTTGGTGCCCCAGTCTGAGGCCAGGAAGAAAGCCGCCTTCTGCTAGGGAGGAGCTCCAGGGAGCCCGACATTCCGAGCTGCCCTGGGCTTCCCCGGGGCAGGATGTGCTGGGGAAAGCACTGAGCTATGCTAGAATTCCTGGGGTGAGCCTTCGCCCTCCGTGGCCTCCCCTGAGGTACAGGGCCCACAGCAGATGGGGTGTCCACACCTCTTCCTTGGCCAAAGCACCTTTTGATTCTAGGAGTCTCAGTTTGGAGGGTCATTTACAGCATCGCACCCTTCTAATCACTTCACTCAACCTAGGCTACCCAAATCCCGCCCGTCCTCTGAAGTCCTCTTTTACTCATTCTAGCTGCAGAAATTCCGCCTGATGTCCAGCCTCAGCGTCTCCTGTTTATCAAGAGACACCTCCTCCTTCCCCTACTACACCTTTGGCCCTGGCACTCCCCACCTAGCACCGTTGTTACCATTTGCTGTTCTGAGACTCCGGCATACACCTGCCTGACAAAGCAACAAGGGCTAAGGGGCAGAGGGCTCTGTAGGCTGAACTCAGGTGTGTGCAGAGTGGGAGGGGGGGTCTCCCTGAGCCCGAAGAGGTGTCCCAGGCTGGACATCTGTCCCTAGTCCTCACATTGACTGGCTGCTAAGCTGCAGGGCAAGGTACAGGTTTATGGGTGATGGCCCTCACTGTCCCCTCTGAATGAGTTGAGTCATGGCAGAGCTGAGTCATGGCTGGAGCAGGGGGTACCACTCCCCCAGCCATCAGCAGAAAACACAAAATCAGATTCCCTTCCCTCCCAAGGGTCCTCTATCTACTCATGTCTTCTCCAAGCCACCCCGTCAAGCTGTTCCATTCTACTGTCTTGTATATCCCCAGGTCACCCACCCTCTTACTAAACCTTAGTCACTACCTCCCTGACCTCTGCGGGGGATTATAGCCGCTGTGATCTGGTTCTATATCCCAGAATTCTTCCTGCTCAGTGGTTAGGTTTTTCTGGCTAAAACCCTTTGTGGGCCTCCCAGCAGGGCTGCCTTCTCTTCTCCCCAATGGGCCTTATTAGAGTTAAGAGTCTCAATCTCAAGTATGTTTTTCAGGCAAGCTTAGGGCAGCAGCCTCTAACTTGCCTGGTTCAGTCCTTTGTGAAACGGGCTCACCCCCCACCTCCCTACCGTGGAGCCAGGTGCCTTTCTCCGCATGGGTCCCCTTTCTGTAGGACCAGGAGGGACGCCAGGCCAAGTTCAAGGCCCATAGCCGAGCCCCTAGCACCCTCGCCAGGGATCAGGAACGTGTGTGACAGCTCCAGGGAAGGGGGCTGGTGGTGGCAGGGAGCAGGTGTGGGAGCTTCCAGTTGAAGAAAATTGTCGTGGGAAAACATAAACCTGCCCAGGAAAAGAGAGCAGGACTTCAAAGTTTAAAAAACCATAACAAAATAGAGCTCTAACTGTAAACTACAGAGAACAGGCTCAGGGAGCGTGCAGGCCACGGCCGACCCGCCGCTCCCTCGTGTGAAAGGCCACCTGTTGGAGCACAGGCTCTGGGCTCTCGGTCATGCTGCCACTGCTGCGGGATTCGGGGAACCCGTCCGTGCTTTGGCCTCTCGGAGCAACAGCGAGGGCAAAAGAAGGGTCAAGCCGCCTGGAGGTCACAGCAGAAGCCGGGCTCGCAAGGCAAGAAGGGCTTGATGGCTCTTGGAACATGCCATGCCCTGGGCTGGCCCCATCCATGCCAGCCTGGTGACCGCCAGCCTGAACCTCTTGAAGCAGAGTTTGCTCCCGCTGCTGACCGTCACCGCCTTCTGACTCGGGCCTTGGACGTGCAGCACTGCCTCCTTGCTCTGGACAGACTGAACCGGAGGCAGGAGTTCAGCCCGCTCACCTCCAGGCTGATGGCGGACGTCCCCAACCCCTCAGCGCCGCCCTCTGCTCATCTGGAGTGAGGTGCCCGTGCGAATCAGCTAAGACCTCTTCTAGCTCTGATGTCTGTGACTGGTTATGTACCCAGAGCTCAGCGGAGAGGTCCCCTTTATTAACCCCTTTTTCTTCCGGAGAAATGCGCAGGAGTGGGCCAGGCAGTCTGGGGCAGATCTTGCCAGGTGATCTGGGGCATTCCTGGGAGCACGCAGGGCCACGCTGATGCCCTCGCCTCCGACTCTAGGACAGAGTCAATGCTGCACTGCCTCACAGGCATGAGAGGGTGGGGCCTGCAGGTGGGAGAAGCCCAGGTCTGGCAGCAGAGCTGGAGGCAGAGGGTGGGCCACGATCCCTGTCTTCTGCCCAAACCCTGCAGGGGCTGTGCAGGGTGGGTCTTGGTGGGGGTTAAGCCCTTTCATCACCTGCAGTGGCTCTGTCACTCGGGGGGTGACGGGGCGGGTTGGCAGTGTCGACTGGGAGGGCAGCGTCACTTGGCTCCTGACGCCTGCCTCCAGTCAAGGCGGTGCCCCTTTCCATCAGGTGTCAGCCTCTAGATCCTTGCAGCTCCCACTGTGATACTGAAGGGACACAGACTCCAGCCCCGGGCATCAGGCACTGGTTCCCTGCTGCCCACACAGGCGGGGGCCTCCAGGGAGTATGGAGGATGGTGGAGGTCCAGCCGTGCATTCCAAGAGGATGCGGGAGAGCGCCCAGTGTCGGCTGCTGCTGTTTACCCATTGTCCCTCTTTAGCCCTCAGTATCCACTGTTTGCTGGGCGTGGGGCTCTGGCCTCAGGGTGCCAGCTCTGAATCTGAAGATGCCCGTTTGTCCATCCAGACCGCCTCCAAGGCCCGGGCAGGGGGTTCAGTATCATCTTGGAAGTCCCAGTGCCTCATGATTTAAAGAAAACAATCTGGGTGGGTTCTGTCCTGAGGCAGAATATGAAATACCCCACCTCCTACAAAAAGGGCACTGTTTGAAGTAGGGATCAAAAGCCAGCCGCTCTCGGGCACAGTGTTGGGCCACCTTGGCACCGGGAAGGAGCCTGGGCCGGCGGCCGAGTCCGTCGGAGGTGGGTGCCGAGGTCAGAGCTCCAGGCAGCGGAAGAGCATCAGCATCGCCACGGAGCGGGAGAGGAGGGTGCTGGGCTGTGGGGCTGGGTGCGCGGCTGCGTTCTCCACCATCATGCTTGTGCCTGAAATGGGGGGGGGGGGGGGAGTTGGCTGGGCCTCAGCCCTCGCCCTCAGGACAGGCCCTTGCCTTGGGAGTGCGGGTGGCCAGGTGGTATTTTGGGTCTGGCTCGCACAGTGCATGGAAGGACTTTTGCCTTTGCCCTTAAAGAGATCATGCTCACTCCCTGGCCATCTGGATGTGGGAGGAGGAAGGGACGCAGGCTGGGACTACTTTGCACTGGGCTCTTCCCTGCCTTCCCCTTGGGGTTGGAGTGAGGTTGGGTGGGAATGAGCCCTTCATCAGGTATCTGGGGACAAGGGTCAGGGACGGGCAGCACCTCCATTCTTCACGATGTGGACTTCGGCCGGAACCCCGTCCCCTCCAGGCCCTGTGGTCCGAATCTGTACCAGGGAGTGGCCGATGCCCTCGGGCACCGGGATCTCTATCCAGTTCTTGCTGGTGAGGTGGAGAGTGGGCGTCGGGTGCAGGTCATTCTGGTACAGCATCTGTGGGAGGGAGGTGTCCAGGTGGCCCCTCCTTACACCGGGGCTGACCCTTGTCTTACCAGCTCTGGTCACTGGGGCGGGCCTCTGAGGCCCTGCCTCGATGCCCCCTCAGTTTCCTGCTGACCAGGCTCCTCGCTGATGGGAAGACAGCTTGCAAGCAGCCGACCTGTGCTTGCCAGCACCTTGAGCTAGAAGGACCCCGGGTTCCACCCAGGCCATCGCTGCCCCATGAACTGGGCCTTTCTTCAGTGACACCATCTGCTGGTTTACTACCCAAATGCCTACAGCGGCCACAAGCCAGGAGCAGAAGCAGGCTGCTAGGAACTTTAGCCACATGCAGACCCAAGTACGTGAGTAGCACCGGCTTCCTCCCAGGGTCACATTAGCAGGAAGCTGGAATCGAGAGTGGATCCTGGATTTGAACCCAGGCACTCCAAGAGGAGACATAGGCGTCTTAACCAGCACCTTAACTGCTCGGCCAAACTGTCCCTGCCCTGTCTCTATGGTTTTTGCTGCAAGCCACCGAGAGCCACTCGTGTACCGCGTGCCTCTCATAGTCAGACTCTGGGCCACTGTCTCAGCCAGGTCTCTTCTATAGATTGCAGTTCCCCGTGTTCCCTGGAGCCACAGAGGGGCTGTTCCTCCCCATCCTGGGCCTGGTGGATCCCCTTCCTCACCTTGTAGCCAGTGACTGCAGACTCGTTTCGGAAGGGGACCACGGGGTCCCACTTAATGCTAAGGCTGGAGCTCGAGAAGGTCCAGGAGATGTTGCCAGGAGGGCGCTGTGGAGCTGCCAGGGAGGGAGGGAGGGAGCACTGTGGAGACTTCCAGAGGTTCTGCACGCCCACCCCTGCCTTCAGCCAGCCCTTTCCCAGGTATCTGCCTACAACAGTTGTACCCAGAAATTCTGCACTTCCTAAGAAACGAAGCCCATGCAGGTCCAAAGGCTGGCGAGCAAAGAGGGGCTTCAGAGTCTGGGGCTCCCACCCGCTCTGTTCTTTCCACTTGTGGCCTTGTTCTGTGCAGCCCAGGGCTGGCTCCTGCAGCACTTCCCTCATCCCCTGGCCCCACCCTCTCCCCAGGCAGCCAGACTCACGGGGCTTCATGGTGGTGGCATTGGCAGAAGGGCTGGCAGGCCCAGTGCCAGCCCGGTTGTAGGCCCGCACGGTCACGTGGTACTTGGTGTTGGGATGCAGGCCAGTGACCAGGGCACTAGTGTCCAGCCCTGCCGTCCTCACTCGGTCAGCAGCTGCTTCTTTGTCCCCAACTCTCCAGTATCGGATCTGAAAGAGCAGGGGGACCCTAGGATGAGCAGTCAAGCCCGGGGTCTCAGGGTTACCCTGACTGCCGCTTTTCTGTTCTCCTTCCTGCTCACCTGGCGGCTTGTGGCTCAGTTTCAGGTCTCAGAAGCAGGACCCAAGCCTGAGATCCCAGGGAGCCAGGCCACACAAGTGTGACTCCCCCTGCAGCTCCTGGTACCCTGTCCGAGGTGCCTAATGCACAGGTTGGGGGAGGGGGCACAGGCTCTGCCCAGCGGGTTCTGCTAGGGGATGTGGATGCGCATTTGTACTTGGAAGGTAGCCCCCAGCCACAGCCAACTTACGAGGGCTGCCCAGTAAATGCAGGCCCATCTTAGCAGCAACCACACTGGTAGATCTGCTGAACACCCTCCGCATCAAGGATCTCCCCGCTGAGTGAGTGAGCGTGAATCCCAAGCTGACTTCACTAGAATGAGTTGATTCCATCAGTAGTGGACCCCGCCTGGAGTCTCAGGCGATGACAGTTTCTTTTTCTTTTTCTTTCTTTTTTTTTTTTTTTTTTTTGACAGAGTGGACAATGAGAGAGACAGAGAGAAAGGTCTTCCTTTGCCGTTGGTTCACCCTCCAATGGCCGCCGCGGCCGGTGCGCTGCGGCCGGTGCGCTGCGGCCGGCACACCGCGCTGATCCGATGGCAGGAGCCAGGTGCTTTTCCTGGTCTCCCATGGGGTGCAGGGCCCAAGTGCTTGGGCGCCCCGACCAGGACTAGAACCCGGTGTGCCGGCGCCGCAAGGCGGAGGATTAGCCTAGTGAGCCGCGGCGCCGGCCTGACAGTTTCTGTTTTTCCTTCTGTTCCTTTCTCTTACACCATGTCTCCTCCCAGATACCCCTGTGTGGAGTCTGAGGCCAGAGACTGTTGGGCCCAGGGCTAGCTGTAGCCCAGTGGTTCCTTCAAGACTGCCTCCCAGTCTCGCTGCCCCAGCGGGCATCAGCCATAGGGTCTCATGAAGTTTGCATACGCGTGACTGCACAGACTGGCCATTCAGTGCGCAGCCAGTGGGTGAGTCCGGGGGAGCGCTGGGTGAGCTGGCGGGGGTTCCCTCGCCGCCCTGAATCCCAGCACCCCTCCCAGGCTCCAGGCTGCTGCTCACCTCGTACCCCAGGAGGATACCATTCACGTCCTGCTGCACGGGTTCCCAGGTCACATTCATCTCGGAGGAGGAGACCCCTTTGGCCCAGATCTTGGTAGGCACCACCTTGGGCTCTGGGGATGGATGCAGAATGCGTTTGGGTTTGGGTTCCCAGGGCCTCCGGGGGCAGCCTTTGCTGAGGGTTTTGGAGGAGAGGCCAGGGCCCAGAAAGAAGGCCAAGGGGGACTCTCAGAGCACCCCCAGCGCCCACGGTGCTTCCCATTGCCTTGGCCCTGCAAGGAGCCAGGGTAGCAAGGGCCAGAAGTGAGGCCTGGGGCTTACACCCCAGGGCCTCACCAGCTCCCAGCAAATGGAGCTCAGAGTTTGAGTGGCTGCCGCCCCGCCCAGCCCTGGGGACACATGGCGGTTCCAGGGGCAGCCCACCTTCCTCCGCCGAGTACACCAGCGCGGTGAGGCTCTCGGGCCCATCCCCACGGCGGTTGTAGCTGCGGATCTTGACCTCAAAGGGCGTGTAGGGCTGGATGCTCTCGTTGCTGTAGACAAAGTACTGGGCGTCGGCGCCGGACACCTGGGCGGTCTGCCAGCTGGCGCTGCCCTGCCTGCGGAAGGACAGCAGGTAGCCGAAGCCGTCTCCGTTCTGGTACTCCCGTGACATGGGCTGAGGGGCAAGAGCGTGGCGTGGGCGCGGGGCCGTGGGCGCACTTCCCTGCCCACCCGCTGGCTCCACCCACCCTTCAAAGGGGGGAAGCCCAGGATGCCTGTGCCTGTGGCAGATGCCAGGGGAGGGGACGGGAAAGTTGTCGGCTTTTGAGTTTGAACCCGGCAGGGGTCCTTTCTGTGCTGCGTTAAAGCAGAAGCTAGGGAAGGCCTTGACCCCAACAGCACGGGGACAGGAGGCACACGCCTGCCTCTGTCTCTGCCAGCTTACCGTCCAGTTGACGACGAGCTCCCCAGGGGCTCCCCCTCCTCCACTGAGTCCTGACGGTGCCACCGAGGGGGCTGCCAGGGACACAGATGCGACTTGTTAGTGGCAAGGCTGTGAGGGAACAAAGGCCCTGAGGCTGTCCGTGCAGAGCATCCTGGGATGGGACACCCTGTCACTGGGGCCTTGGTCTCATCCTGCAGCTGTCACTCTGGCCATGTTTCCCTCGGGGCCAGCGCGGGAAGGAGATCAGAGAAGCCCTGGCTGGCAGAGAGTAGCGGCCCCATAAGTGACTTCTCCTCACCCCTGTCAATGTAAGCTGAGTCCCAGGGACCAACCCCAGTTTGCTTTAAATTAGGGGGAGAAATAGCCCAGAAGTGCAGCCAATGCAGGAAATGAACGAAAAAATGCATGTCGTTTGTTCCCTAGGGTGTTTTATGACTGTTTTTTGTGTAAGTGGCAGATTTAATTTCCTGATTGTCTCCAGTATTAGGCAAGGCTGGTACTAAAACAAGGATGTGTTCCATGAGCTTTCGCGGCTCGGCGGGGAGTAACTCGGCTGTGGGGAATCTGCAGGGAATCCAGCAACTGGAGACTTTGCACTGGCGCCAATGACTGTATCCTAAGGCCTTAAACACGCCCACTGTGAGGAGGCGGGCCTTATTATCGCCCTCTGTGGGTGGAGAGACCAAGGCTCAGAGCAGATAAGTGGCTTGCCCGAGCCAGCAAGCTGATACGTGGCACAACTTGAACTTGAACCCAGCACCTGGGATTTGAAAGCCTTTGCATCCCAGCAGTCTTGTGCCCACCAACTCCTGGGACACCAGCACAGAAGAGACCCCTCTCCACCCCACATTCGACTCTCCAGGAAGCTTGAGGTCCAGAGACAGCGCAGCCTCCGGGATTTCTGACTCAGGAGAGTTCCCTGGACGTGTTCGTGGGCACAGGGCCTCGCGGTCTGCGTCCGCGGGAGGAGGGCGGGCTCCAGGGCACGCATTCTGGGTCCCCAGCTGCAAATGCAGTGGAGACACTCAGGAGCCCCCGGCGAGTGCCTGCTGGGGCCTGTGCCTCCCCGCACACCTTTCACTGAGGGCTGCTGGCAGACCGTTCCAAAGGTCCAAACAGTGGAACACTCGTGTCCCTCTTCCTCAGGAACAGATTACGGCGGCCTGTGCCCTGCCGAGGTCCTGGGTTCAGGTTCAGCCTTTGACTCATTCTCATGTTTCCTTTTTTCAGTTTAAAAAGTTAGCTTAAAAAAAAAAAAAAATCTGTGGATTCTCACGCAGTCAGGTTGACCGAGTGCTAGAATGAGGGTTTTGGCCACGATGGTCTAGCAGTGGCCCTGGCCCTAACGGGTGCTCCTTTCGCAGGGGCTCTGAGGGCAGGTGCTGGTCAGAACTTGGGGTACCGGCTGCTTGCTCGGGGCTCCTGGGTTCTCTGCCCTGGCAGTGGTTCTTGTCGAGACACCGACACTGACCTGCTTCCTTGGTCCTGATCCTGCTGGAGGGCCCGCTGGGCTTCCCTGTGCCCAGGATGTTGCTGGCTAAGACCCGGAACTCGTAGTCCATCCACGGCGTGAGGCCCAGCACCTGGGCGGTCTCGGCGTTGCCCTCGATGTTGGCAGGATCTGCAAGGCACCAGGGCCTCACTGCGCCAGCAGTCACTCATTTGGATGCAGAGGAAGGCACTGGGCCTGCACTGCCCCTTCCGCCCAGCCCCGACTGCGGGGCCTGCACACACCTCAGGAACGGTTGAGGGGTGGGAACTACACCTGCGCTCCAGCCCCAGCTCTGCCCTGCTGACACAACGCCCTGGGAAGCAGCAGGTGATGGCTAGATTGTGTTCTGGGCATTCGGGGAGTAAACCAGTGGAAGGGAGATCTTTGTCTCTGCTTTTCAAATAAAGGTGGCTTCCCTATCCTGCTGCCTTTGTTCTGCTGTGTGCGCCCCCACCCCTTCATGGATGTTCTCACTGTTCTAGCAAGTTCTTCAAGGGCACAGACAACACTGCTGCCTCTGGCCTTCCACCTTCCTGGGGACTGTCTCCCCACTGCCTCGCCCTGAAGCTCTTGGCTCAGCCCTGGCTCTCGGCCCCTCGCACCTGCCGCATGCAGCCAGGCCTTCTCCGCACTGACCCCAGCAGGGCCTCGTTACTTACTGGTCCGAACCTGCTTCCACTTCCCTGCAGGCGGAGTGCGTGCTTGGAGGGTGTACTTGGCGATGGGACTGTGGTTGTCGAAGCCCCGGCTCCAGCTGAGCTGGACGCTGGTGTCCCCAATATCCCTCACCACCACGCCTCCTGGGGGACCTGGTGGACCTGCACCAAGAGGTCAGAACACGGTGAGTAAGAATTGGGCTGCTTCAAACTTGAGCCCGCCTCCAGGCCCCACTGGGGCTGGTGCAGAACAGACAGAACACGGCAGAGGATGCAGGGAGCACACCCCAGGGTGGGAGGATGGGGCAGGGCAGGGCCTGCCGTGTGGTCAGAGCGATGTGGCTCCTGCTGGGGCATCACAGAGGCCACGCCCAGAGGGGTGGAACAGCTTCTCAGCACTGCGGTCAGGAAAGGAGTCCTGTCTCGGAATGTGTTTTATTTGACAGGTTCAATCCCCAAGTGCCTACAAAAACCAAGGCTGGGCCAGGTGGAAGCCAGGAGTCAGGAATTGGGTGTGGGTCTCCCCTTGAGCCATCACCTGCTGCCTGCAGGGTGTGTGTGAGCTGGAGGCTGCAATGGAGAGTGGAGCGGGGCCTTGAAGCCAGGCCCTCTGCGAGGAGGGCTGTGGGCTTCCCAGGTGGCGGCTAAGCTGCCGAGCCAAACTTCTGGTGGTGGTAAAGTCTGGCTTTGGCAGAAAAATATCCTGTTCATTGAGAACCCGGGAAGAATCTGGGGATGGCTCCAGCTCAGCAGGCTCCGTGGGAAGTCCTTCCCCAGGGCTGTGGGGGGAGGGGGCCGGGGAGGGAGGCGGGAGCAGCCCAGCTGGCCTCTGGGTCATGGCGGTGGGGGGGGAGTGGGAGCCCCGTCACCTCGGACCAGGACCGTGGCCTCCTTGGACGCGCTGTCAACCACCGTCTGGGCCATGCATGTGTACTTCCCACCGTGGCGCAGCTGGGCATTGAGGATGGTCAGGTCCCCGACGGTTTCCTTCTGCACACAGGGACAGCCAGGAGCGTGGGTCAGAGCAGCGGACCGGAGGCAGAGCTTGGGAGCCCTGCTCTGTGACGGCCGGGGGCCCTTGTGCATCTCAGTGTTCCTGTCTTCAGTGGGAGCAGACACTTACTAGCACTGGAGACCCACAAAGTTAAGGTACAGGGGCTGATGCCAGTCCAAGTGAATTCGCACTGAGCAGAACAGTGAGAGCGGCAGAGGGGAGCGAGTCTTCAGGCACTTGGAATTCTAGGTTTGTCCCCAAGCCTCTCCCAAGTGAATGTTTTGTGGGTGGCACCAACCACGGGGTATCAACCCAAGGTGGGGCTTCTTGGGCTTGGGGTGGGGCTTCTGAGTGGGGGCCCCATGGGAGCTGTGGGCCTGGGACTCACCGCACTGGCCCTCCGGTAGTGACCCCCGGGCTTGTCGAAGTCGATAGGGAAGTCATCCAGGGTCCAGATGAATGTGAGGTCCATAGTGGGGTCATGGGAGGCATGGCACTGGAGGGTCAGGTTGTCACCCAGGTTGATGTCAGCACTCGAGGGGGCTAGGGTGATCTTGGTTGCATCTGCCAAGAAAAAAAAGTCCCCTGGGTGGGGGGTGGGGGGAGTAGAAGGGCCCAGGCCAGGGGCTGTAGGGCAGGGCAGAGGCTGTGTCACCACAGATGGCCCGAGCCCTCTGCAGCCCCAGGAATGTGGGCCAGGCAGGCAGGCAGCACCAGATTCCGGATGGTGGCGAGTGGGCGGTCCCAAGCAAACCTGGAATCCTGGGGTTGCCTCAGAACCAAACTAGGAGTCAAATGGGGACACGAGGGCAGAAGGGTGGTGAGGGCAGCACCCCGCCGAGCCCAGCCACAGCCCTCACCGCGCACAGACAGGATTCCCGTGCTGTTGGCTTTGCCCATGAAGTTCTCCGCAAAGCAGGTGTATTTGCCCTCGTCAGACCGGCTGATGTTTCTGATGATGAGGGTGCCGTCTGGAGTCACGGTGACTCTGCAGCATGGACAAAGCGGAGCTGGCCCTCCTTGGGGCTCATGGGAGCCACAGGCAGGGGGCGGGGCTCGGGGAGGGGTGAGGTGCTACCTGCTGCTGTTGGCCAGGATCTCTGTGCCTTTGCTCCACAGCACCACAGCCTTGGGGGCCGCCCGGGGCTGGCAGGGGATAGTGACCTCACCCCCGCGGGCTGCAGGGATCAGGCGTCTGACGGGATTCAGCCGGAAGTCAGGGGCCAGCGCTGGAAAGAAAGGGGAGAGCTGCCTAGTACCCCGGCCAGGAGTAACCCCGTGATGCTGATGGAGACAAGCACTCGACACACCCTGAGGCCAGCGGAGCCGCCACCTCCAGAAGCCAGTCTGGACCCAGCCCTTCTCATCACCCCAAGCCACCACCTCTCCTGCGCCCCCTAGGGGCCTTCCTGTTGCTGTGCTTTCCTTCTACAGTCCACCCAGCAGGTGCAATCCCGGACGGACCCCAGAGTGAAGTCCAGCTCCTCCCCAGGGCCCACCCCAGCCACCCCTGGCTCTGTCTCTCCCTCCCTCCCTGTGCTCAGCCAGCTGGCCACTCTCTGGTCCTTTGAAGTTGCCACATCCTTTCCTGCCTCGAGACCTTCGCCCTTGCTATAAAAATTTGCCTGGAAATTCCCAAAATGTGGGACTCAGCAGGTAAAGCCTCCACCTGCGATGACAGCACCCCACATCGGGGCACAGGTTCAAGTCCTGGCTGCTCCGCTTCTGAGCCAGCCCCTGCTATGGCCTGGGAAAAGCAGTGGACGGTGGCCCAAGTGCTTGGGGCCCTGCACCCACATGGAAGACCCAGATGAAGCTCCTGACTTCAGCCTGGCCCAGCCCCGGCCATTGTGGCCATTTTGGGAGTGAATCAGCAGATGGAAGATCTCAGTCTCTGCCTTTCAAAACTTTTTTTTCTAAAGGAATTCCTAGATCTTCACGTGACTGGCTCTCACCACTCCTGTCAGCCCAGACGCGACTTCCTCAGGAATCTCTTCTCTGACCAACTAGCCCTCCTGGCCCCCTGCTCCCCTATATTTGCTTTATGCCGTATTATCTCTTATTTTAAAATTAATTTTCATTTATTTGAAAGGGAGAGAGACACCTTCCTTCTCTGGTTCATTCCTGAAATGCCTGCAACAGCCAGGGCCGGGCCGGGCTGAAGCCAGGAGCCTGGCCCTCCATCCGGGTCTCCCACGTGGCTGGCAGGGACCCAAGCACTTGAGCCATCACCTGCTGCCTCCTGAGCGCATTAGCAGGGAGTCAGGAGGTGGAGGGGCTTGCATGCGGGCATCCCAACAGGAGGAGTCTCAGCTGCTGCACCACACACCTGCACATCCTGTGTTTCTCTTGCCTTTTGAAATGATTCACTTTTTATCTTGTGTTTATTTGCCCCTCCCCCTCCCCCTTTATGCGTCCTTTGTGGTCTCATTTATTCCGCTCAACCACCTCCAAGGACAGAACTGTTGCTGCCCACGTTGGATAAATGGAGACACGGAGCCAGGAGCTGAGTAGCTCGGGGTGGGTGTTTGGTGCAGCAATGAAGACAGCGCTGGGCTCCCACTCAGGCTGATGGGAACCAAGGTTCCAGGCGTGCATGTGCGCGTGTACTTGAGCTCAGAAGTGCTTTGGTCATAGGGCTGGCGTGCAGTGGGTTAAAGCCAAGACCTGCAGCACCGGCATCCCCTATGGGCTCTAGTTCAAGTCCCGACTGCTCCACTTCCCATCCAGCTCTCTGCTAACGCTCCTGGGAAAGCAGCGGCAGATGGCCCAAGAGCTTGGGCCCCTGCACCCACGTGCGGACCTGGATGAAGCTCCTGGCTCCTGGCTCCTGGCTTTGGCCTGGCCCAGCCCCACCCCTTGTGGCCATTTGGGAGCCGGCAGATGGAAGATTCCTTCTCCTCCTTCCCCGCTTCCCTCCCTCCCCGCCCCTTTGAAATAAAAAGAGAATCTAAAAAGTTTCTTTAAAGAAAGAACCGCCATGGTGGGAACCGGAGCCGTCCCCCACCCCCGCGTGTGCTCAGGGCCTCACCTTGCACGGCCAGCTCGGCGCTGGCGTAGATGGTGCCGTGCTTGTTCTCTGCCACACACTGGTACATGCCCGAGTCCTCCAGGCTCAGCCTGGAGAAGCGCAGGTCCCCGGCCGACACCTCCACCCGGTTCTGTGCAGCAGAGCCCGGCCCAGCAGGGCAGGGGGATCAGGACCTCGGGCTCAGGGAGGAGGGGCTGGCGGGGCGCATGCAGGGGAGACCCCAACGGCCCCACAGGTCTCCGCACTCCTGGGTCTCAGCACTCAGACTCCCAGGGCTTCCCAGAGGGGTGAGGGGATGCTAACAGGGCCACGGCCCTTTCTGTGGCTCCACCTGGACCCAGGGCTCTGGGCCTCTGTCCTGCCCCAGCCGGTGGCCATGGGACTGTCAGGGAAAGAGGCACCTAGAACCCAGAGGGGCCGTCCACTTGGCAGGGGTGAGGGGCCCTGGGTCTCCTACCTGGGAAGCCAGGGGCTCCCCGTTCCGCAGCCAGCGCACAGTGGGCCGGGGCTTGCCGGCAGCCGCACAGCCCCAGCGTAGGTTGGAGCCAATGTCGGCCTCCGTGTCTGAGATCACCTTGAGCCACTCGGGCTGAGCTGTGGGGAGGAGGGGAGAGAAAACCTGGTAGAGCTGGGAGGAGGCTCCACAAAACCGAATGGCAAGGTGCAGTGCTCGTGCCACACAGCAGGGGGCGCCATGTACATTCTAGGGTGGGAAGGATGGAGGGCAGGGCAGGAGGAGGCAGGCACAAGCATGGTGGCCCTCTAGGGCCGTCAATCACTAGTGCCCACTAGTGCTGCACCCCGACGGGCGCTCCGAGCCAGCCGTGCGCCAGCCTCTGTTCCCGCACCCAGTGCAGCCCTAATTGGGGTCCCTTCTCAGGGACAGGGGGGCAGGGGAGATGTCCTGGCCCTGTACCCTGCACGATGATGCGTCCCTGGACGGTGTCACGGCCCTTGGAGTTCTCCGCCTCGCACTCATAGGTGCCCTCGTCCTCAAAGCTGACGCTGGGGATCTGCAGGGTGGGCTCGGCGGTGGCCCACTGCGGGGACAAGGAGCCGTCCACTTTGCGCCACTTGATCCTGGGGACAGGGCTGGCAGGGGAGACAAAGTCAGAGGGGATGGGCTGAGCACTGCTGCTCCTGGGACCCGCACACCTTCGGACCCTCCCGAGACGCCTCAGGGCAGGCACCTGGGCTGGGGAGTGGGGGGCAGAAGACACCTGCCAAGCACGAGTAGGAAAGGGGCCAGAAACGGCTCCTCTACCCACTTGCTGCGGCAATGGTGTCGCAGGCCTGTGGTGGGGTCAGTGCCCTGCAGCGGGCTGGCCCACACCCCGCACCTGCCAGCGGTGCCCCGTGCCCAGGTCTTCCTGGGACCCTCTTCCCCTCGCCCCACTTTTCAAAGAGACTTTCTTGTGAGTTATCAGGGTACTGCCAGGGACTGAGGCATCAGTGAGTTGCAAGGGGCTGCCGCGTTGTCCTTCTGTGTGCTTTTCCGGAAGCCCATAACCATCCACAAAGCAGTGGCCATCCCGAGACGCTTGGAAGAACAGTGGGCCAAGCTACACTTTCTGCTCTTTCGCTCATTCGACAAACCCTCATGGAGCACATGCGTGCCAATCAATCCCGTCCCTCAGAAAGCAAAGCAGAGAACTTTCTGAGCTAAAACCCCAGCACGTCCCCGTTGGCAGCCACAGGACACTCAGTGAATGCCAGCACTGGCCTCAGCACCCACCCACACGGGCTCACTCGCTGCTCATCCCAGTGCTGGGAGGTACGTCCTGCTATCACCATTTGCAAGCAAGGAACCTGAGGCACAGAGTGGTGAGGCAGCTTACCCACAGTGGCCCGGCCAGCAGCCAGCCCGTGGCAGAGCTGGGGTGTGAACCAGGCAGGCTGGGTGGGTGGGAGCCTGCAGGCGCTACCCCGGCCGCTGAGCCTGCATCATTGCTAGGAGCCAGGTCTTCTAATCGCGATCAGGCCCCTGACATGGGATGCCTTAGCCAGAGCATTGGCAAGTGTGGGCCAGACCCACTGTGTGCCCAGCACGCCCCAGGAGCCTGCCAGGGGTACCAGGATGGCTGAGCACTGAGCCTGCCCTCAGCCTGGCGTCGCCTGTGCCCAACCTCAGGGACTGCCCCTCCTCCACTTACTTGCCAAAGGCGAAGCACTCCAGGGTGACCTGCTGCCCTGCCAGTGCGTAGGTCTCTGCAGGGAACCGGGCCTTGATGCTGGGCGCAAAGAGCCGGGGGTCTGGGGAAGAGAGGGATTTTGCTCACCAAGCACCAATGCTGCCAGGGCAGGCGCACCTGCGCCTAGGGCCTCAGCATCCGTCAGCACCCACAGTGTCTGGACGGCTGGGGGGGTCTCCAGCCCCCTGCGGCAGGAGGACTGGGGGCCGGGCCTGGACCCTGAGTGCAGCTGCCCCCAGCTCCCTGGCTCCCCGCCCGCGCTGCCTCCTGACCTTCAGCCGCCAGGTTGAGCTGCGCAAACTTGCTGAAGACGCTCTTGGTGGAGAAGTCCATGTGGCTGGTGGCCAGGCAGGAGTAGTTGCCCAGGTCTGAGGCATTGGTGCGGGCGATGTAGAGGTTCCCGGTGGTCTGGGACACGAAGTGACGCCCGTCCGTCGGGATGAAGTTGGGGAACTCATTGAGGAGCCAGCGGTAGGACAAGCCTGGGTGGCGGTGGTGGCAGGGTGAGGAAAACCAGGGGCTGCTGGGCTCACAGGACGGTGCAGGGGGACCCCAGCGTGCCAGTGGGACCTGCAGGCCCAGTGCTGAGAGCCCCCGGTGCTCTGAATTAAGGGGACCCCTGGGGGGAAGATGTCCCCAGGGAGCACAGCCCTCAGGGACTTCCAGGCTGAAGGGGGAAGCAGGGATGGAGCTGGAAACAGACTCACCCAGAGCCGGGGTCTGTTACCCTCCGCGGGGCCACTCTCCACCTGTCAGCCCGTCCTCCACTGAGCAGCCAGAGGCCCTCCTGTGCCCTCCACCTAACCCGACCCAGGGCCCCGACTCACCTGGGTAGTGGGCAGGTGGGTTACAGGGCAACATCACCCCCCAGCCCGCGTGGGTCTTCACTGGGTCCCGCTCCTCCTTAGAGAACTCCTGCAGGACTGCGGGGGTGGGGGGGCAGCAGGGGCTCAGGCGTCTCCCCCCGAGCCTGGCACCTCCTCCCCAAGGCATCCTCCACTGGGAAGTGGCAGTTCACCAGGACACGTGGTGGGAGGGCGGGAGAGCCCCTCTTCCCTCCACATCATGGCCCTGCACTCCCACGCCCCGCCCCGGGTCTCACAGCCAAAGCGGAGCACAGCCTCTCTGCTGACGACGGTGCCCACTGGGTTGGAGGCCAGGCACTGGTAGACGCCGGCGTCCTGCGCCTTGGTGGGGTTCATGATGACCAGGTTGCCCCCCATCAGCTGGTGACGGGAGCCCGGCGCCAGCTTCATCTCGGTACCGTTCATCTTCCACCTGCAGCAGGGGACAGGCAGTGGAATCTGTGTGTCCGCAGCTGGGCCGGGGGCGGGGGAGGGAGAACCAGACTGCGCACACAGCCACCACGGGTCCTCACCTGTAGGTGGCCGGGGGGCTGGCCCGGGCGCGGCACGCCAGCATCACCTGCTCCTCTGTGGACTCCTCGGGGAACAGCAGGCCGAGGGGCTGCTCTTCAAAGACAGGCCCAAAGGTGGCGGGCGATCCCGGGGCCGCGGTCCAGGCTGCAGAGGGGCACACAGGCAGAGGCCGCCTCAGCGCCTGGGGCCCTGCTCAGGCCTGGCCTGGGCTTGCATCTGAGCTTCCTGCAATGGCTAGGGCGTCCCGTGTCCTGCAGAGCTCAGAGCGGGAGCCACCGGGCCCTTGGGGCTGCTGAGCACTTGAAATGGGGCTAGTGAGGCGGAGAGGCCCAGCTGTGTGTTTTATTTTAATGAATTTAACATTGGACTTAAATGGGTTGGACAGGCCTCATCTGGTCACGTTAGTTCAATTACCCATCCTACACCTGCGGGTGTGGGACACCTGCTGTGTACCTGGCACAGGGCTAGAGACCAGCTGCAAAAATGACTGAGACACAGTCCCTCGTCCCCCAGGAGCTCGAGTCCAGGGAGGGAGACGCGGTGCTGAGAGTACGAAATGGCAAGTGGCGCGGTGGCATTTAGGGTCAAGATGCTGGGGTCCTCAGAGCGGAGGCAGAGCTCCAGAGAAAATCCGCAGGGCAGGGGGTGCGTGGCAGGGGCACCTGTGTGTTCCCAGAATCCAATGTCCCTCAATGAGGCCCAGCCAACAGTGCTTGGCTGGGGCCAGGCTTGACCTTGGGCAAGTAACAGAAGTCTCCACCCACCTCCAGATTCACCTCCAGGGCCCTGAGAGGAGACGCCTAGCGGTAGGCTGAGCTGAAGCCCGGGATGGGGATGGAGGCCGGGAGGAAGGCTGGGCAGGTGGCCTTCTTACAAAATCCCAGTGTTGCAAATCAAGGAAGGGGAGCCCAGAAGAGGGAGTGACTTGCCCACGGTCCCTTGGCAAGTCAGGCACGGTCGGTCCAGACCCCAGGTCTCCTAAGTGCTGAACAGATGGGCAGCCCGCGTGCAGACGGAGCCCCGGGCTTCTCTTTGCATGCACCATTGTCCTACATCACCGGGCAGGGTGGCTCAGTCTGCAGACTGGTGGGCCCAGTTCACCTGGCTGCTGTGGCACTGGGTGGGCACAGGCCCCTATAATTGGCTCCTACCTCTCCGTGACGCTGCCTGCCTGCCCTCCTTGGTGGGTTGTGGGTGGAGGGCTCTCCCTAACCAATTAGTGCCTCCTGTCTCAGAGCATCCAGCTGTCAGCTCTCTTCCAGGGGTGGGGGGCGGGGGGCAGCCAGGCTGCAGCTGAGGCCCAGCCCTTGGCCCCCTGGGGGAGGGGGCAGCTGTTTAGCAGCTCTCAGAATGAGGGAGGAGGCAGGGCTCCCTGAAATGGCCCAGTGCGGGCAGCCCCCCGCTCACTGCCGCCCCAGGCTGCCTCATCTCTGTCGGAGAGCCCAGCCTAATCCCAAGTTAATGATGGTGGCCGAGGGAGGGGACCCCTGCCCCAGCTGAGCCTGCTGGGAGGGGAGGGAGGGAGCGGGGAGGCAGCCAGGCTGCTGGGAATCACCCTGTACAATAGCAACGCCAGCAGCTCTGCGGGGTGGGGGGCACTGAGTGGGCTGGGGCACGGGATGCATCAAGGTCGTCTATCTTTCTCCTGTGCACTCAGCCGACACCTGCACACGGCGTCACTCTCAGGTGCACGTGGCCCTCCTTATGCTACTCCGAGGGCCGGGGACACACACGCCCGTCCCCCATGCACGCACATTATCCACAGCACCGTGTATCTTCAGACGTGTGTGGACATGCATTCATAAGCAGGTGCCATTATTCATAATAACCACATAAGAGCAAAGGCAATAACAGACAGCGCCAATGCTACTGCGTGAGCTAAGCTTCCTGTCTGTGTCGGACACCGGGCTCCAGGTCTGTCAAGACCCCTCCACGAGACGCTGTCATTTTCTTACTTTACTGATGTAGAAGCTGGGATCTGGAAACATTAAAATACTGCACCCCAAGTCTCACAGCAAGATGGAGCAGACCTGGGGGTTTGGCCTCGGTAGCCTCACCTTGCAGCCTGCATCCTGCTTAAAAAACTTCTTAAAAATTTATTTGTGGGGCTGGCACTGTGGTGTAGTGAGTAAAGCTGCCGCCCACAGGGCCAGCATCCCATATGGGCACTGGTTCAAGTCCTGGCTGCTCTATATCTGATCCAGCTCTCTGCTATGGCCTGGGAAAGCAATAGAAGATGGCCCAAGTCCTTGGACCCCTGCACCTGCATGGAAGACCTGGAAGAAGCTCCTGGCTTCCAATCAGTGCAGCTCCAGCCATTGAGGCCATTTGGGGAGTGGACCAGCGGATGGAAGACTTCTCTCTCTGCCTCTGCCTCTCTGTAAGTCTGCCTTTCAAATAAATAAATAAATCTTAAAAAAAATTGTTTCGAAAGAAAGATATAAAGCTCTTTCATCCGCAGGTTCATTCCCCGAATAACCACAACAGCTGGGGCTGGGCCAGGTTGAAGCCAGGAGTCAGGAACCCCACCCAGGTCTCTCACATGGGTGGCAGAAAGCCGAGTACTCGAGCCATCATCTGCTGCCTCCCAGGGTCTGCGTTAGCAGGAAGCCGGGGCTGGGCATCAAACGCAGACACCCTGATGTGGACGAGGGTGTCTCACCCACTGAGCCTGACGGCACCGCTCCCCAGCGTTCTTCGCCTGGTTCCCAGCGTTCTCGACTTCACTTTCCCATCAGAACCACCCCAGGCCCTTCTGCAGCTCAGATGCACGGGGTCAGAGTCACTCGCAGTGAGGCCCTGGGATCCACATGGGAAAAACAGCCTCGGGGCCTGTGCAGGGCCACGGGGCTGAAGGCCCTCCAGATGGCCGCCACCACCCACGGAGCAGCCCCCACGCAGTGCCTCCCGCCCTCCACCCTCTCACACCCACCCTCGCCCCCACATCCCCCACAGCGACTCACACTCATCTGCACACGCACAACCCTCCACTTTATCCCATGACACACACACCTGCACGTGCTCTCTCCCCATATATGCACACACGCACATGCGCACACCCAGGCAACACCAGCCCTTCCCTGCTGTCCTTGTTCCGCATCCTCCGACTCTCCCCCGATTCCCTGTGCGGGTGACACTCTTTTCCCAAACACGGGAGTCAGAGGCCTTGCTGAGGAAGGGGCTGCAGAGCTGAGGGGTGGGGGGGGACTCCTGGCCGCCCCCCTAGCACTGCGCTGCTGGGATCCACAGCTGTGTCAGCAAGGAAACCGAGAGCAGCAGCCCCTTGCCGGCAGGTGTAGGGACGAGTGCCGGCATTCGGTCCTTTTGTCTTTCCCTGACTTCTGGGAGATGGCCAACCGGGCCCCGGGCCCTGGCCCCTGGGGGTTGCCTTTCTGTACCTCTGGATCTGAGGACCCTGGGGGCTGCCCAGGACCCAGCCTTTGATGGGGTGGGGCCAACACTGCTCTGTCCCCGACTTAGGGCATGTGAGAGGCCTGTGCACCTCTCCTCTGCCCTCTTGGTGCACCCAGGGCTCCCCACTCCACCCATTTCCCAGCAGGGTCAGGAAGCAGCTCCGACAGACGAGGTCTGGGCGGACACCCGTGGCAGCCCCCAGTGAGAACGGCGGCTGGGGCCCTGCCAGGACTGAGGGGAGGGGGTGGGGTACCAGGCGGGTGGCACTCCAGAGGACCACGGAGCATGCTCCTCCTCCTTTAGGGCAGAAAGAGACGCCCGTCGATTGGGCTGGGGTCCCAGCAGAGCCCTCGGAGAGCAGGTGCCAGACACCTCCCTCCTGTTCCAGGACACGGGGGCCCCCAGAGCCCCCGTCCCTCGCCTTCTCCGGCCTCCTCTGGGATGAGATCCGCTGCCTGACCTCCCTGCTATGCCCCGTCTCCTGCTCCCCGTCAGTCCATCTGCAAGGATGCTCCATCCAGGAGAACATTCTAGATTTGATGGAATGTTCTAGAGTCTGTGCTAAGATGGCCCAGAACAAATGTGGCCAGTGCACCTGAGATCATTTTAAAGCTATAAGTGAAGGGGCCAGCGCTGTGGCATAGCGGGTAAAGTTGCTGCCTGCAGTGCCGGCGTCCCCTATGGACGCCGGTTCAAGTCCCAGCTGCTCCACTTCCAATCCAGCTCTTTGCAATGGCCTGGGAAAACAGTGGAAGATAGCCCAAGTCCTTGGGCCCCTGCACCTGCATGGGAGACCCAGAAGAAGCTCCTGGCTCCTGGCTTCATATCGGTGCAGCTCCGGCCATTGAGGCCATCTGGGGAGTGAACCAGCAGATGGAAGACCGACCTCTCCCTCTCTCTCTGCCTCTCTCTCTCTTTAAATAAATCTTTAAAACAAAACAAAACAACAAACAAAGGTATAAGTGTGGCTGAGTCTCAGTGGCCCCACGTTGCAGAGGCAGCCTTGGGGGCATCATCCCGGGCCCAGAGGGTGGAGACCCGGCGGTGCCAGAATCTCGCTGTGTGGCCAGGGTGAGCCATGCACCTCTCCACCTCTCTTCCTCCATTTACAGTGAGCAGCAAAGAAGCAAAAAAGTGCTTTCCTCCTACCCCTCCCTCCAAGGGAAGGGAAGACCCACACGTAGGAAACGTTCCCAAGGAAATGTCCCCAGCGGTGCTACAGCAACGCTGCTGTTATTCCTAAAAGCACCACCAAAACCATGGCGACGACACGGCGACTTAATCGGCCCCTCTGGGCTTCCGAGCCCAGGGGACCCTCTTACCTGGAGAGGAGACCAGGGCCACGGTGGCCAGCAGGAGCAGGTGGGGCTTCCTCCTGGCAGGTGTCCCCATGGTGGGCGCTGCAGGCAGGGGTGCGGCCCGGAGAGCTGGAGTCTCAGCCGAGCTCGGGCAGCGTCTGGCTGGAGGCTGAGAAGGACCTGGGGAGGCAGACAGCCGGCGGTGAGCCGGGGAGCACCCCTCCCAGCCCCAGGCACATCTGGGGCCGTCATGCTTTTACCTCGGCTGGGGCGGTGACGGCGGGGTGGGGGTGGGGGTGAGGCTGCAGGGGGAGCCGGAGTGCTAATCCTCCCCAGGGCCCCAGGGGAAGGGGCTTGGCCATTACCCAGGAGCTCTTCCCCCGGCTGAGTGCCTCCTACGGGCCCCCTGGGAGTCTGGGTCTACCCCATACCCCACCCGGCCCTCCTCCAGCCAGCAGGGGGGCCGCTCTGGAGGCAAAGGCAGTGACTAATTGGGAGGCAAGAATCCACCTGCCCGCGCTAGTGCGCTCTCTTGATGTAGGGTCCAAAAGAGAATGGGGCCGGGAGCTGCCGTGGGGAGCCAGTAACATCTTCCTCTGGCACCCCCTCTCCTCCTCCCACTGTATCCCCGCAGCCCACGTGGGGGCTGCTAAGCCCCTCTGGGAGCTGCATTAAGTCTCCAGGGGACCAGCCTGGTTTTCCTGGCAGCGAGAGGGGCCTTGCTGATTCACCCCTACACTCTCCCAGGTACCTTAGGGGCACTGAATGATGGGGTCATGACCTTGGCCCCCATTAGCAATGATCCTGACCAGCCAGGCCACAGGGACGAAGAGAGCCCTGGTGAAATCCTGGCACTGCCGAGACCGAGTCAAAGGCCCTGGTCATCCTTGCCCCCGCCAGGAAGCCCTTACACACCCCTGGGGCACACGCTCAGCTCTGTTCTTGACCACAACCTGGAGGCCCCACCCACGGAGCCGCGTCTGCCTGCATGAGAAGGCCGTGGGCTCCCAGAGGGGCTTGACCGTTTCACCTGCTTCAGCAAAGTGCCTGCACATACATGGTATGACTTGAACCAACTGGGAACAAGTGTGGCTATTCACCTGGGCGGGGGGGCACGCGCACACATGCTCACACACAAGGCCAACAGATCTCCAGCGCTCCCTAGGGGTAACCCAGGCAAACTGGCAGCACACGCCCAGGCCACTCAGCAGGGCGTGGGTCGCAGGAAACCCTAAAAGCACACCCCTGCGCATGCCAGGTGTTATCGTCAGAGCAGCAAGGCGCTGGGGCACCACAGGGCCCCCCAGGACATGGAATCTGACAGACAGGACTTCCAGCACCGATTTCCTCTCCAAACAGCCCCGTGAGCTCGGACAGCGTCTTCCCCCGTGAAGCCTCCGTTTTCCTGTCTGCAAAGTCGAGAGCGTAGGACGCTTGGCGGAGCCGCCCTGAGGGTGAAGGAGGCACCGAGCGCCCAGCAGGGCTTTCGCAACTGTGCAGCCTTAGGGCTGCTGCACTGGTCTGGACACCGCAGTGGGGAGCTGTGGAGAGAGGAGGGGGCTCCAGCCCAGGCATCTCACTGATACCGTGGACTTTCCCTCGAGGTAGCCACACAGGAAGCCTCCTCCAGGAAGTTGAGAACCACGCCCTGGGCACTGCTGTGTTGCCCCGGGGTGTCTGGCCTTGCTCTCTGCCCCTTGCCAGCCTGCCCATCCTGGGAGCTCAGTGCGGGGCCAGGCACCGGCCTGAGAGCATGGGGCGGGGGTGGGGTTGGGGCTGCTGGCATTACCCCGAGTGTGCTGGGATGAGGTAGAGACAGACATCTACACGGTTGCCCCCCACCCCGACTCCCACCATGGTCAGAATTCTGTTACTTCTATTACTGGAGGTCATTACCATAGGTCACAGACAATCCAATCCTACTGCTCTTCCTAAACTCCAGTGCAATCCCGATTTAAAAAAAAAAAATCAGTGAACTCCCCAGCCCAAGGGCCCTGGGTACACTCTGGGGACAGAGATGTGAGGGAGGGGCTGCCCTCAGATGCGCCTGCACAGGTGCACGCTGAGCTCCACTGTGCGCCAGGGCCTTGGGTACACACACACGAGTCTGGGCAAAGGGTCGGAGCTGACAGCCCCCTTGAAGGTGAGGCAATCAGCCCCCTGCCAGGCCTGGCACCTGTTTCCATCACAGTCTTTGTTGACCATACACTGGGCACCGCGCCGAGCACGGGAAGACAGCAAAGATGTTGCCTGACGCTCCCTAACCAGGCGCTTGCGACCGACAACGCGCTCCTGCGCTCACAGCTCAGCCACCCCTCCCCCACGCGTTCTAGAATGCCCAGGACGGAGGCGGCCTTTTCGTCCAGACCAAGTCTGCAGTGGAGCTCCGCCAGGCCCGAGCCGGCCCTGCCAACCCTGAGCTGGCCAAGCCTCACTCGGGCCAGCTGCCCTGGTGAGGGGTGCAGGGACAGGCGGGCACAGGCTGGCACAGGCTGTCCCCATGAGGGGCGGGGCCTGGGAGGGACACAGCACATGGGGGAACGGGGCCACCTGGGGGTGCAGAGGCACCAGGGGAGCTGGCTGGGTAGCCCGGCACAGGAAACAAAGGGTAGGAGGCACAGCGCACAACAAGGACTTGTGGGCTAAGGAGTCTTGCACAGAGCCCACCAGAAAACGAAAGACCACTCTCTCCAAATATGCCTCTTAGGGTGCCCAGCTCCTGGCCCAGCCTCTCCCTCTCTCCTCCCCACAGATGGAGAGTGGAGCATGGTGGGGTCTGAGCTGGCCACTCCTGGGGGTGGAGGTGGGGGGGGCACCAGGCCCGGTGGGAGACAGAGATGGAGTGATTTATCATCCGCTCACAAAGGGCTGCGGGAGCCCTGGCGTCCCCGCCGTGGCCTCCATCTGGTATCATAGCATTCAAGTTAACAGGGCAGGCCACCGACTCAACAGACTGGTCCTCAGTAGCTCACACGGGGCTACCCCGCCAGCACAACCCTGGTGATGGAGCTCACTGCTCAACTCCTGAGCCTCAGTCTCGCATCTGTAAGACGGGGAGAAGAGTAGGACCCAGCCCACATCTGGCTGCATGCGTGCCCGGGAAAGACCAGTGCTCCTAACCAAGCGTCCTCCTGCCCCTGCGCCCGAGCCAGCGGGACCCTGTGCCTGTCGGCGCCCGGCTTACTTCCACACAGTCACAACATCCAGGCTGCACCGTGTCATGCTTAAGACCATCGCAAACCCGCAGGCTGCCTGGGCAGGTGCAGCAGACCTGGCCACTCAGAGAGGGGCAGGAGGAGCCCCCCTCGCCCCACAGTCGCACTCAACCCCTTCACCCAGCCACACCCAAGCACGAACTCCTCAGCTGCCCGCCTCCAGCCAGGGGGCGGGTCTAAGCTTGGAGCTTAGCTCCCTTCCTCTGCCCAGGCCAGGAACCGCCGCCCGCCCTGGGCAGCGCCTCTGTAGCAGGAAGGTCCGACTCATCCCTGGAGCCAAGGCTCTGCAGGGGCCCGGGTGGGGACTGGTGGGGTGCTCCTCTGGTAGGGGTAGGGCAATGTGTGTTGGGAAGTTCTCGGGGCGCCCTGAGTGTGGAGGAGGGTGGACGTCCATGGGAGGCAAAAGGCTTCTGAGCTAGGAAGGACTCCCACAGGGTGCAACGGGGCTCCCGTGTACCCCAGGGTGGGCTATTGGGCTTTGGAGAACGTGACCTGCCCTTGTGCTTGCTTGCTCCCTCTTTGGAGACAAAGCAAATGGGCGAATTCTGTAGCCAGGACTTAGCAAACCAAAGAAAGAACCTCTTGGCTCTGGATGGTGACCACCAGGCCGCAGAGCACGCCGGAACACCCTGCAGTGCCGCAGGTTTGGCCACGGCCCTGGGGGTTTGGTCCAGGTGGCGAGGTAGCCAGCTGGAGGGGCGGACATGTGCCTGGCTTCTCAGCGGGTCCTTAGGCTCACCCGCCTTTTGCCATTTGAGAGAGGATCACTGGCAGCTGGGAGAGGTAGCCCTGTCCCAGCTGCCTCTAACCTTGGACCAGACCCCATCCTGAAGGAGAGCACACCCACCCCCCGCCATGGCCACGGCCCAGGAGGCGTCTCCTGCAGTCTAACTCGAATGCACCTTGCTTCACGACAGCTTTGCTTCTGCCTCCTTTCTCCACCACCTCTTTACCGCTCTCCTAGTTTTGCCCTAGGAGTCCCTCCAAGAACACAAATACCACCCACACCCAGGCTCACAGATCCCCCAGAAATTCACCTTCTCTACCACACTGGCTCGGGAGGAGGCTCCTGGCGGGGAACCCACACCCTCCACCCCATCCCACCTGTGTGGTCCCCCCGACCCCGATGGCCTCAGAACTGGAGAGGATGCCGTGGGGCGCGTGGTCAGCCACAGCTCCCACCACCCCTCGAGCGCAATGCCCGCGAGCCCTTCCCACGGGAGTCTATTTGAATGAGGGCTGGAGAGAAGGTGCTGGAATGGAGTTGCATAAGGGAGTGAGATCTGGCGGGGACAGCGCGGGGCGTGGGGGCCGCAGCCGGAGCTGGGCTTGGACCAGGGGAGGGGTGCGAGGGAAGAGCTCAGCCAGGCAGGAGGCGGAGGGAGGGCAGAGTCAGTGTGCGTGCAGCTGGCGGGGCTGGGAGCATCTCCTGGGCAGTGTTCCTCTGCTTCCCTCGCTCCCTGGGTGTGATGGGTACCATCAGCTCGGGGGACCCCTTCCCATCTGTCTCACCTCCTGCCTTTCTCTTACTGGTGACGGACTCCCCATGACCTTGTGGCAGAAGCCCTGTCAAGGTTCAGCAGCCTGGCTAGGAAGGGGTTAACTAGCAGGCACTTCTTTCTCCCAAGGCCAGGCACCTGTTCAGACTTCCCAGCTGTCTTCCTGCCCCACCCCCAGGAAGTGCGGTCAGACTGGCCTCTCCCACAGGTGTCCACCCTTTGCTGCCCTTGGTCTCCGTCCCTCTGGGTGGGCCATGGGACGAGGCAGCAGAGGGACTCGGAGCCTAAGTGGACTGAGAGGCTCTCCCGGGCGGACACTGAGAGCAGGTGCTCATGGGGTGGTGCTGTTTGGCCCCCTTCCTCTCCAACCCACTGCTGCCCGGAGCTGAGGTCCATGGCGCGCACTGCCGGCTGCCGGCACCCCACCCCCAGACCACCCAACAGTGCTGACCCACAGCCCCCCAGAGACCCAGACTGAAGGGTATAACACGGGACGCTCCCCTTCCCCAGCCACTGCCTCACGACAGCCCCCGTTCTGGCTTCCCAGCCCTTGGGGAAAGTGGCAGGGTTCAGTTCTGGACACCTCTGGCTCATTATGTAAGCCCCAGGGTGCTCTTTCCAGAGCCCCACCCCCACCCCGCCGTGCCCCTCCCCCCTCCTCACACCTGTCTGGCCCCAGCCCCCTGCCTCACTGGAAAGACAAACTTCAAGCAAAGCCCTCCCTCCCACCAGCGAGGAGGAGAGGAGGGGGAAGGGAGGGAGCCCCAGCCCCCCACCCTCGGGAATGTGACTTGCCTCAGTTTCCCCTCCTGGAGTCCCAGCGCCCCGTCAGGCCTTCGCCCAAACTTGTGCTCCACTCTATCCTCTCTCTCTCACACAGCCCCCACCCCCACCTCCAGCGGAGGCCAGACTTGACAAAGAGGTCAACCCTGCAGAGGCAGCCCCGGTGACCCCAAATCCCAGGGGCTCCAGCTCAGTTCCATGCTTGGACCTGTCCCGGGCAGGCCAGAGCCCAGGGCTCAGCTTCAGAGACTGGGTGGACCTGGACACGGGGCGGGGATGGCCCAGGAGCCTCTGCCCTCTCCCTGAGCAGCCGGCCAGCAGGAATTCCTGGACACTTTGCGGGGGGCCGGCTCTCCGGTCAGCTGGGGCTGTGGAGGCCCTGCAGGATGCCGCCCACGCACACAGGGTGGGGGTGGGGGTGTGGAGCCACCCTGGGGCTGGGCTGAGAAGTCAGACCGGCCCCTGGCGGCCAGCTGGGTGTTCCCCTCCCGGCCCCTCCCAAGTTACAAGAGGGATATTTCCAGAAGCCCCTGCCCGCGGTGGCAGTGCCCGGGCAGCCCCGGGGCTGGAGGAGACAAAAAGGGGTGGCCCCTACCTGGGGTGACAGGAGGGTGTGGGCTGGCGCAGGTGGACGCTGTCCGAGCGGGCGAGCCCGGCGGCCGGGCTGGCAGCCGTGGGGCCCGCTCCTCCGGGCGCCCGCCGGCTTGGGCGCTGCGGCGGCGGCGGCGGCAGCGGCGGCGGCGGCCGAGGGCGCGAGTGTGTGTGCGCGCCTGGAGCCACTGCAGCATCTCTGCATCAAGATGTGCTCCTCCCTCTGCCCGGCTCCGCTCACTGGCTGGCTCGGTCCTCGGCGGCGCCCGGGCCCTGGAGATGGCTTCCTCCTGCCCCCTCCCGCCCCTCCCGTCCCCACCCTCCCGGCTTTCCCTCATCTGCTGTCACCGTCTTCCATAATGCATGGGCCAGCGCCGCCCGCCCTCCGCACCCCTGCCCAGCCCCCCTCCGCCTCGCCTCCCCCAGCCCTCAGCTTGGGGGGCTGCAGAGGGGTGGGGTGAAGAGGCGGAAAGTGGCTCTTGCTCCTCCGATCGGGGAGACCCGTGGCGCCCCAACTCCCCCAGTCGCCCGTGAGAGGCACGGATCCGAATCTGAAGTCCCCAGCTTGCTGCGGGCGGCGAGTGGGACCGGAGCGGCCGCCTCTGCCGCTCACCCCGCGTCACCTTCCTCTCCATTGTTTCCCGTGCTCAAAAATAGCACTGGGTTTTTGGTCAGAATAGCCCAACGTCAGGGAAAATTTTAGAATAGGTAGTAAAATTCCCTTAGCCATTGCCCTGAGCAAGTTGGAGCCCACGCCCCAGGTTTGCTATTGGTGTGCGGGATTCGTGGGGTTTTGTGACAATGGGATTCCACGGTGCATCACCATCTGCAGGCTACTTTGTAACCGCGTCAGCAGTCTCTGCATGAGTACATGTGCGTCCAGGCCAGTTCACTCCTAACCCCCTAGCAGTGTGACGTCATGAACAGGTCCCAGACCAGGCACTCTGAATGTCTACAGAGTTCTCTGGGCTCTGCCTCTGCTCGGCTGTGTGTGTTTGGCCAAGCGCCTTGCCCTCTCTGAGCCTTCCTGGTAAACTGAAGGAGTTAAAGGTGACCACGGTCCCTGGCAGGTCTGAGAGTCCAGGTGCTTACCCTGGCCAGCGGCATGTCTCTCCTGCTCTGTTCCTGTCTCGTGGAGATGCACGCAGGACGCCGGGGCCTGGAGGGGTGGGGGCGGGGGGCTGGGTGGGGACCAGCCATCTGCAGCACCAGTCGGCCTGTCAGGCTGCCACTGCCGTCTCGCCCCCCTCTGGTCCGCCTGCTGTCCAGCTTGCACACGCAGGACTGGGGAGCGGTCAGATGCCGAGCAGCTGGCAGGGCCAGGCCAGCCTCCAAGCTTCAGATGGCCATACCTGTCGTGCCTGGAGCGTGGCGGGGCACCCGCCAGGGCTGGCGTGAGAGGCTCGGAGCAGGAGAGCAGGAGCGCGGGAGGCCCTGCCGCCAGCCCCACAGGCGCTCCCCTCCCTTCCTTCTGCTCCCCCTCCCAGGGCTTCCCCAGCTTGGGAGCCAGTCCTCTTTGTTCCTGCAGGAGATGCCGGGGGCCACTTGGGGCGGTGCTGGACAGAGACAGGCACACGGACCATGGACCACGTCCAGGACGTCCTTCCCGTCTGCCTTGCCAGCGTTGACTTCACCTCTCTGTCTCTCTGCGGGCCTGCGCGTAGGCCCTGAGCCCCTGAAATGAACCTTGCCCCCTGACGCTGCCCAATCAGCCCGGGCCCCGAGGAGAGGCCCTGCGTGTTCTTGCCAAGCAGGTGCAGATCCTTGCCAAGAGCGGGGATCACGCGTCTGCCGGCCGGCAGCCGCGGGACAGGCCGGCCAGGAGATGGGCTGGCCGGGGAGCCCGGGGTCTGGAAGCAGTTGCACGGATTGCTTTAGTTGGAGCCAGCTGTCTTTGTGGATCCATTTGGGACAGCTGCTGCCCTTGTGGGGGCTACGGGCTGCGTCCTGGCGGAGGGCCATTAGCACAGGTGACTCGAGTCTCAAACACGGGGATCCCAGTGCACCCAGCCAGCCCCACCTCAGGTGGGCTCCCAGGAGCGCTAAGTGGAGACAAGGGTGTTTACCGAGCCTGCACGTGGATTCGGGAGACAGTTCCCTAGGTTTCTTCTCCCTGCTCTGACCCTGTCAGCTGAGCCCGCTAGAGAGGAGTTTTGGGGGTGATGGGGGCCCTCAGTGCCAGCCTCTGAGATGCTCCCGCTCCTAAGGAGGAAGTGGGGTGGGTGCTTCGGGTCCGTTACTTTGCTAATAACAGAAACAATACCGTTTCCGGGCCTCCAGGGGCGGTGCTAACTGCTCACCTGCTGTGTTCCCCGGGGCAGGGGCAGCCACTGTGCTGGGGACTCTGGTGCCGTGGCTCTTCCGGGGTGCAGAGCCGCAGACTGGACAGTTTCCTCTTTTTTTGGTGTCTGCCCGAGCCTGGAGTGACCCTAGGGGCAATTTTCCTCTCTCTGGCTCGTGGGGGTGACTCCTGCTGGCCAGAGTGGGGGCACCTGCTCTCCAAGTTGATCCTCACAGACTCCCACCAGGGCAAGGAAGGGCCGGCCAAAGATGGCCAAAGATTGCTATGAGCACACGGCGCCCCTGGGGTGCTCAGAAGGCATTCTGAGGGCCACCTAGCCCTTCCCAGACCATCTGCTGCCCCTGCTGCAGCCCCCACCCAGGTCAACAGTGACGGGAGTGCAGAGGATGTCGGAGCGGTCAGGGGGTGGCCATGGGGCCCAGGCCCAGGGTGCACGTGGGGAGGGTGCTGGCGGCCAGGCTCGCCCCCGCTAACGTCTCTGCAGCCACCAGTGTCTCTGCCTCTGATCGCAGACTGCACACTGCGTTCCGGGGGAGACGCATTCCTGGAGCAACTTCCCTGCCTGGAAGGGCGGGGAAGTCAAGAGCAAGGGGGTGGCTTGCTCCCTTTCAGGACGAGCTCTGAGGGCAGCAGCAGGACGCCCCGCCCGTGGCACCCAGTCGCACCGTGAGGAGTCCCGTGGCCGGGGAGAGGGTGCATGAAGACCCACACCACACTGAGTGGACGTGAGGACCAAGGTGCACGTGGAGAATCGCACACACTAGGTGCTCAATAAATGCAGTGTTTCCCTGTGATCTTTATGGGGCTCCGCATCTGTACATCCAGGTGGGGAGAGGGCTGCAGCCTTCCTGCCCCACCCCTCTCAGCTGCGCTGGTGGGGGTGGCTCTGGATTTGCAGTCAGGGTAACTGGGCTCTGTCCAGCTCCGTCCTGTGTAGCTGGGTGACACTGGGCAGATCCCTGAATGAACTTAATTGTGCCGGAGTCCACTTCTTCATCAGTAAGATGGGACCAACCCCCCCCCCCCCCCCCGAGGATGCTGGTGAGGGTAGGTGGAGTGCGGGCAGCGGGTTTTGAAAGCACACCGTGAGCGACCAGGAGCTGCACAAACAGTGAGCGTTGCTCCCTGAGCAGTGTGGTCTTGGGACCAGGGACCCCCTCCCAGTGCCTGTGTTCTCCTGGTCCGTGCCCACCAGCCCCCACCCCTGCTGCACAGCAGGTGCCTGGACACCATAGCAGTGAGTGGAGGAGGGGAACCGTGGCGACTGTTGCAGGGATGGGGAGAGAGGGTGCTGGGTATCGGAGGGGGTGGAGGTGCACCCCGAATGCGGACGGAGGAGACAGAGAGGAGGTGAGGGAGGCATTGCTGGCCTGGGTATGGGGTGTGGCAGGAGCTCAAACTCCAGGCCCGGGAAGAACCTGATCTGTTTGGGGCCTGAGCAAGGGGTGCCCGAGGGAGATCTCGGCAGCCTGCCTCCCCTTCCTAATTTCACGGGAGGGCCTGGGTGGGGGGGCCTCGGCCCAGAGGGGCCTCATTATTCTCTCTGCCATTTCAACCCAGGGCTCTTGCAGCTTCTTTTTCAGGCTTATAATAGACAATGCTAATGTCATTATTAATATTTAATAGTAATGATGCTAATAATGCCCTGCATTTCTGTGGCCTCCAAAGAGCTCACAGAAGCCTGTTTTTTTTTTTTTTTTTTTTTTTCTGAAATGATTTGGCTGGCGTGGGAGGGTGGCAGCCAGGTCGGGCGAGAAGGATCGGGTCACGGGGAAAGCCGAGCTCAGCAAGGTGAAACAATGGCGCCAAGGTCGCAGGGCAGCGGGAGCAGATCTGGGACCAGGGCTGGGTGCTCCGCTCCCCGCCTGCAGCTCTGCCCTCTGCTCCCCAGAGCATCTGGGTCTGAGGGGGTCATCCCTGGTGGGGGGGCGCCCGTGACCCCGAGACTGCACTGGGCTGCAGAGCAGGTGCTTCTGGGGTGTTCTTGATTAAGTCCACCTCGGTGGCTAATGATAGCCAAGGGCATGGGACAGGACGGGGCAGGCGGCACTGGAGTCTGGGGCAGATTCTGCAGGACTCCCGGAGCCTCAGCCAAGTGCCCCATGTTCCAGGATCCCAGCTGTCTCACGGACAACCTCTGGGAAGCGTGTGTGCGTGTGTGCGTGTGGGGGGTGCAGCGGGGGTCTCCAGGCCCTGGCATCGGCAGGAGTGTCTGGTGCAGATGATGCCGGTGGTGGCGTCCCCACCGGACTGTCCCCAGGATGTGACTGACTTCTGTGTGTCTCTGCTGACGGAGTCTCCCTCCACTCCTTCCCATTTCTGAGTCCCGTTGATTCGGTGCCGCCTGGTATCTTCTGATGAGTCCTCCTTCTGCTTGTGATGGCTACGGTCTGGTTCTGCTGCCTGCAACCAAGACCCTGGATCAATTCCGGAGCTGCAGCTCCTAGCACCGTGCCTGGCACAGAAGAAGTGCTTAAAATGGTAGCTGGAGATGGTTAGAAAATACTGCATCCATCCATCCACCCACCTGTCCATAGAACAAGAAACCATGAGTGCCTCCTGCCTCAAGATTTTTTTAAATTTATTTTTGACAGGCAGAGTGGACAGTGAGAGAGACAGAGAGAAAGGTCTTCCTTTGCCATTGGTTCACCCTCCAATAGCCGCCGCGGCCGGCGCACCGTGCTGATCTGATGGCAGGAGCTAGGTGCTTCTCCTGGTCTCCCATGGGGTGCAGGGCCCAAGCACTTGGGCCATCCTCCACTGCACTCCCGGGCCACAGCAGAGAGCTTGCCTGGAAGAGGGGCAACCGGGACAGAATCCGGCGCCCCGACCGGGACTAGAACCCGGTGTGCCGGCGCCGCAAGGCGGAGGATTAGCCTGGTGAGCCGCGGCACCGGCCGTCGCGTGGACTCTTGAGGCACTCACCGTCCCATGATGGCCCTGGCGTGTGAATGGGGTGGCTGTGG